TTCCCAAAAATTTATCTCTAGCAGCATAGCTGTTTGCTGCCATCTTGCCGAAAGTGACTAGATACTAACCCGTGAAACCTGGTCTGCTATTTTTCTCAAGGCTCTTAGAGGGTTCATGCTTGGACTCTGTTTCTGCATCAATTGAAAAAGGAAATCCCGAACACAATGATAAAATTGGAAAATGAATAGCACAAATGGGTCGGATTTGAACCAGGGACTACGGATCTGTAGCTCAAATCACTACCTACTAAGCTACCGAAGCGACGTAATGGATTCTCGTTTTTGAAATGTCTTAAATGGTGTATTGCATTGTCCCCTCTTCATGAATCATTGGTCACCCAGCTACTGAAAAAAAGGTAGCGCACCAGGTTTCACGGGCTAGTATTAAGTCGCTTCCCATCTCTTGCCTCCTTATGGAGCTTGGACTGTACCATTTGGTGTGGATATGCTGTAAATTAAAATACTTTATAAGAGAGTAAAAATCGATATAGCTAAAACATCATAGATTTTATTTAATTTTAACACAGTTATTGTCAAAATATGAAACTTGACAATTATTCAATGTTAAGAAAAAATAAACATTTAGAACTTTAAATGAAAAGGCATTGTTTCTTTATCATATAATACCACCACCCCTCTAGTGTAATGGTATGGTCCCACTTACCCCAGTGGCAACATGGCTGCTGATTTCTGAGCAGTGGTTTGAAGGAGGCGATTCGACCAAATTAAAAGGGCAATTTTCCTGAGTGCAACCTGTTGAAGTTTAGCCAAAATATCCTTTCGGCAAACACTTTACGGTCGAGAACCGTTTCTTTTGATTTTTAACAAGTTTTGGAGGTGTTGACGTTGTTTTGACAGTGTGTTGACAGTCTGTTGCGCGTGTTGACGGTAATTAGTATGATAGAGTAGAATTACACTGTACAGCTGCATCATCACACCCAACGACTTGCTTGGGAGGGATAAACAATATGCAAGATGTGTGCAAAACCTGGGCATAGGCCTACTTAAGTTACTCCTGTCATTTTCACAGAAATGGGCCATGTACATGTATTGTACTCTGTAGGCATGCCTAGTGATCCTGGGATTAGTCTAAACATGTCCTTTCAAGCCTCAAGCCGTTAAGGCATGCAAATCGCAAGAACAAGTTGCAAGGCCTAGGCCTATCCTGTATGTAGAATAATAATTGTACTTACTCCATATCACGTAGGTGTGCTAGCGATTCCTCATAGACCTCAAAGACTAATTTCTTATGTGTTGTCTTGATGATACTACACAAAGTCGCGAAAAAAACGGATTAATGCGACCACCATGCGCTCAAAAGTACTCAACGTTCGCATGTGACGCCTCCCACGTGTTGCTAGCAATGACCCTGTTCGTAGTCGGTTCTGTAATACGTAAATGGGTTTTCGATGAAGCGCGAGTTTTGCGTAGTGACGTCATACACAGAGTGCCTGGCTTGCGCTTATGGGTGCACTGAACCAGTCCAACAAAATTTGGAGCCCCAAGGCAGGCAACTGCAGTCCCTGAAGCCTCTCAAACCATGGAGGTAGAATCAATGTGTTGTTTGGTCCTTCAGATTTCATTCGATTTTCGATTTTTAGAAGGTTAACCAATGATTTTTTTAATTATCCGCCCAAAACAAACTCCCCCCCCCAAAAAAGTGAATGTTCCCAAGTCTTCTCAATCTCAGCAGATATTTCTCAAATGGCATCCCTTCTTCCACAGGCTCCTCTGACAAATTTTCAATTAAATTTTTGTCTACTTTGTCCTCAGATTGGATGCCCCTAAATCTATAGAGATAATCCTGGACCATACTGACACAATCCCACAATTTCTTGTCCCAAACAGACCCCTTTTTTGAAAGAATCTGTTAGGGGTACTTTTTCCTTGAATTGGGACACTGCACCCTTAATTGTATGTCACCCCAACAACAAAGGAAAGTGCGCCACCTATTGATATGGCCATATTATTGTGTGCATGTGGCGCGTCCGTTTGCTGGGAGAGAAAAGTGAACAAAAATCTTGACGGACAGGCAAACTTACCCACAGTAAACTGTTTTGGTCATCAACAATGAGTGGAGGTGTCTATGGAGGAGGTAATGGTGATAGCACCTTGCTTTGTTCGGATAATTAGGGCCTAGGGCTAAATTAGATTGTTCAATCAATTTGAGACGAAGTAAGTTTTGCTGCCTCCTTAATTATTGCATCAATTCCGAGAAAAATTAGTTTTCGCTTGTAAATTATGTGTTGTCGTTTTGTAAATTCGAGTAGGCCTATACAAATACATGAACGTTGTTTGTGACACTGGGCCAGGTATAGGGGTAGTAATGATGTAGGCCCAACATCATAAACAAGCGAATAAAAGCATTTGGGGCCTAGGCCTAGTAGTAGTTTAGACCTAGTTTGATTTGATTTTTACAAAATTTAGCCTAGGTTAACTTAAGGCTTTTCATTAGTTAACTAGTGACCTACATCGATGAACATGTACCTCTTATCTCTATAACTGTGGGGTTTGTGACCCTCCCCCCCCCCAGTTCCGGGATACCTGCCACTACCACAACTGGAAATCGAAACCTTAGCCTATGATTAGCAATGATAATTACACAATATTCTAACTATAGAATTTGGAAGTCACATAACAGTTACCATAGCTAGAGCCATTTTTAAATACACAAGTCTCCAAGACTTTAACTTGACCCACCCTTCCTGAAGGAGCTGATGAGATATACCAAACATTAAAATGGATCATGTTGACAATTTCCATTTATGGTAATTATGTCAGACTTGTTGATTTTTTTTTTTTTTTTGGTTGTTTCACTCAGATGAAGTTGGTGCTTTGGTATTCGATGCTGGTTCCTTTTCTACCAGAGCTGGGTATGCAGGGGAAGACTCGCCAAAGGTACGTACCATATAGTGGGTGTGAATTGGCAAATAGCCGTTATGCACAGAGAAGCTATTTTGGATTGTGTTCCCAAAATCTCATTCTTCCATGCCTCTTTTTCATTTTTCTGAATGTGGCTTAAAACATTCAGATATAAATGACAACAATATTTAAATGATGTTATTTTGTAACAGAGTTTAAATAGGTACTTTCATTTTTATTCTCAGATGTCAAAATAAAATTAACCTCGCTTTCAATTAAATATGGCTGACTTGTGGATGAGGCCGATTTGCTCATATTCATTGGTTGAGTGGCTTGTTTTGAAAGGGAAGTCTACTGAAATATGGCTGTTCCCGTTTGTAGAGCTTTTTCCTTTTTCTTCTCGAGTGAAGTTGAGAGTTTTAAGATGCCATCTACGTGTACTATTTGTGTGTGGCCCTGATGTACATGTAACAACTGATTGTAATGTTAATAACTCACCTTTTGACAGGCTGAGATTCCAACGGGGGTAGGCGTCCTAGAAAACAAGGAGCTGGAATCGTTAGACATCGACGGGTTGGGCGCGCCGTCGTCCATCCGCGACGGAAACAAGAAGAAATACATCATTGATGTCAACTCCCTGAGTGTGCCGCGAGCGGGGATGGAGATGGGGAACCCACTTAAGGATGGCATGGGTAAGATATGACGGCATAGTCTGGTGACTTGCTCACATTGAATGCAACTTTTGTGACATTTGTATGTAGGGGGTCATTTGTATCAGCAGGGTTTAGAGTTTAGTCAGTTTGCTCAACCATGCTCAGTGCAACATAATTTGCAATGCAAAATGCAACACTAATCTTATGTAATATGCAACAGTTAGCATTGTTGGACTTACGTGCAGCTCTCAACACAAGTGACAGAGAATCGTACATGTTCAATTCATTAATGCAAGTGCAGGTGTTTTTCCGTTGTACAGAATTCTGCCGCAAAAGCCTGTGATGCAGTTCGTTTCATTTTGTTGCAAATCACTGCTCATACATGTGCCTAAAAAGCCAAGAGCCTAAAAAAGCTGGAGGCCCATAATGGACGTCGATTTTTCTCTTATTTTTGCAGTGGATGACTGGGAAATGTTTGGTGCCTTGTTGGATCACATTTACAAACGTTACATCCAGTCGGACTCAGCTGAGCACCCAGTGCTGATGGCAGAACCGCCGGTGAGTATTGGGCTTGAAATTAAACACAAGTCTATAGTCCCCATAGAGTTGTGTGTAATTTGAAGCCGCAGCCAAGTAATTTGACTCCGCCGTAGGCTTTGGCACACCCAGACCTCATAAGACAGGTTGCAATTGCAGGCCTTGAATCGTTTAATAGCTCCAGAACAGTTTGGTTATGTAAACCATTCAATGACACTGGGCTTGTTTGCTTACATCAAAATTATGAACAGAGAAATGGATAGGAGTGAGATCTGAGCCTGCGGCCTTTGAAACACCCTGCCGATATGCAACCAACAAAGCCATCCAGCATTTTGTTGGTGGGTCCTCCCAATGCCAACATCTCGGGAATAATTTGTGTAATTTGCTCAGTCTGTGGACTAATGCCCATGATCCAAACTGGACGGGTAAACACGTTGGAAATAAAAATCTCACGCTTTCTTAGCCCTTCAAGCCTATTAAGGTTTGTTGTTATAATATTTTCTCCATAGTGGAACACAAGACACAAGAGAGAGAAGTTGACAGAGGTGATGTTTGAGAAGTACAGCATACCAGCCTTCTTCCTGTGCAAGAACGCAGTATTGACAGCGTATCCTTGAAAAACCCTAGACCGACAAGTTTATCCTTTTTTTTCATTGATTGATTTTTGATTATTGATTAAGGTTTCTCTCAATCGAGCCTCCAGCTTATTTTCTTTTTTGGAGGCCTAATTTTTTTGAAGTTAAGCGAATATTGTAAAACATGAAGCAAGTGTTCTCTGAAATTGACCCCCCAAAATATGTATACATATATTTGTGGGTTTCAAGGAGGCCAATCATTGTGTTATATCTAGGTTTTGTGGGTAGACAAAAATTGAAAATTTTGGTTCGGAAATTTTTCCTCTTCTCTGTATTAACTTCTCAAATGAAGGATGCAGTTTGACAAAGTTGTTTTTGATTAATTGATCATAAACAAAGCAGCTGAGCTACCAATACATTGATCGATCATTTGAGAAACCAAATACTTGCTGTCCGATCAAACCAAATTAAATAAACAGAAAGAGTTGCCTAGAGGAAAGGTGATAAGATTAAGATTCCTTAAAATGATGGCCTTGCAGATTTGCAAATATCCGCTCTACTGGGCTGGTTATAGACAGTGGGGCAACACACACAACAGCGACCCCGGTACACGAAGGCTATGTCTTACAACAGGGTGAGTGGGCAGTTTTATCATTATGCTCTCTGCATAGCTTGAATGTGAATGTTAATGGAGTCAGTTGTTGTGTCCGTGAAAGTGAAACACACGAACCCATCGTATAGTATTATGTATACGCAACGCACCCAAAAAAAGGTGCATTTGGAAAGGCGCCATAAGTCAGCGTATGGCTACGCTGATAGGACAGACTATCGCTGTACCTGAATAGCCGTATACTGGGCAGGCACTATTGGAATACCAAACTGGTTCATTGAAAAGTGTTTTCCGTACACCAACTCGAGTATCTTGTCTCACTCTTAGGCATTGTCAAGAGTCCCTTAGCGGGAGATTTTGTCACCATGCAGTGCAAAGAACTCTTTGACGAGTTGAAAATAGAAGTGGTACCTCCGTACCTCATAGCCTCCAAGGTACGTACAAATACGATGAATAATAACATGTATCTCTCATGAAGCTCAGTATATGCTTTTGCTGGGTTCCAATCCATCAATGTTAAGATGCCTAATGTATATGCACAGTGAAGGAACTTCAGGACCCGATTTCACAGCCCTGCAGAGGCTCAACGTATTTCATGGAGACTGTAAGCAGTAAGCGCTGCCAAAGTCATGCTAAACTCGGAGGAAAAAGTTGCTTAAACTTAGTGACACACCAATAGAAATTTCTACGCGTGAGCAACCTTTAGCACAGCCACGCCAAGCACCGCCATGAAATAGTGCTTAAGGTTTGCAAATATTTCTGCTAAATTTAGCACAACTTTTCTGCTAACTATTAAGCAGTTCCGTGAAATTGGGCCCTGGTCTTTACACTCGTGGAAATGTCTCACTTATCCCTGCCTTATAAATACCAGGAAACTGTCAGAGTTAACAAGAAGAGGTTTATTTACCATACACTTTTCTGCACTGAATTTCTCATGCATGGGTTATCTGTTTAAGTGATGAATAACGACAGATAGACGCTAGCTTCGGTGCCGGTAGTTGTCACCCACCGTTCCAAAAGTGGGACGGAGGCTTCTGAGTTGGTATCTTGGTGTGAAGGAGGATGATAGTGTATTGCAGGTGTTGATCCAGGGAGAGGGGGGTCAACACCCCCACCCCCCCCACCATCTCCTCGCTCTGAGTAAAGACAAAAGTAGAAAAATCAGGAAAATAATAGATAATTATTACACCAATACCATTGTAAACAATGTGTGTCTTGTAATGTTTCATCATCGTTTCCACTTGTCTGCCAAAATGAGACATTAAAAAAAAATCTCCGGCTGACACTCCTCCCCCAAAAAATTACTGGATCCGCCCCTGGTTTGTGGTAGAGAACACTGTTCCTGATGATACAGTAACAAATGAAGTTATACATGAGCAGCATCTGGATCACAGTGAGATGATGAAAGGGGTCCATCATCCCACACACAGGAATCAGTCAAAGAGGGTGCACCTGCAAACTTCAAGCGGAAGGAGGTGCCACAGGTGACCAAGTCCTGGCACAGCTACCGAGTCAAACAGGTACTACAAGACTTCCAGATCACAGCGCTGCAGGTGGCAGACACGCCTTATGAACCGGAGTGAGTGTTAAGTTATATTCATTCAGTGACGCAGCAGGTGACTAGTGTTACCCATTGCTTGTTGGACATTGTGTAATGTACCGTTTCTGATGAGTGTTGTAGATGACTGAGTTTTGAGTGCTAAGTCCGCTGCCAATTATTAAACAGGTTAGGTGTGAACAAACCTAGAAATCATGGACATTTGGATGCAGATGTGTATGACTCGGACTCGACCCGGATGACTTGAAACTCAGACTTGGACTCGATGTTTTGTGACTCAAGTACAAGTCTGATTGGTACAAAGCATTGTTTTTCACCAGTCATCACCAGTGATATCTCAAGCACTTCCAACAATGAAAAGTTAAAAACACACTTTCTCACAGGTGCACAATCACCCTAACATCCTAAATCCCTCAATTTAAATATGGCCATGTACGCCATTTGGAGTTTAGGTTAATAGCATAGCTTTTATGGGCCCTCTGTGTTTATGTGTTATTCTTAAGAATGCAGGTTCGGTAATCTTAAGAACCTGTAAAGTACTTACAAAGTTCTTGGCATCCTGTCTGTCAGTGGGTGATATAACATTGGAGATATTCCTTCCCCTAGGGCCGCTGATCAGTTGCCGTCAGTCCTGTACGATTTCCCCAACGGCTACCATCAGGAGTTTGCCGAGGAACGAGTCCGCATCCCAGAGGGCCTGTTTGATATCTCACACGTCAAGGTACGTGGACTAGATAGCTTCATTAGTTCTGTCGTAGATAGACCCCACTGGCTGCGCAGATATCTGAGAATCACTTTCATCCTGCCTTTGAATTAAATGTAAGCTGGTTCTGTGGCCGTAGTTGTGGGATCCTGAATTTCCCAACAAAAGAAATTATTATTTGTACAAATTCAGTGGACAAGACAAAGTCACTTTTGAAATTAGTAGGTTCCAGTTAGTGAGCTTGAGTACTGTAAAGGTGACAAATGGTTAATGTTGGGTGTTTCATTTGGTTTGCTGGTCTGTCAGCTACATCAAAATGTCCTCTTTTTTCTGCTAGGGATTTGAAGGGAACACCATGTTAGGTGTCGGTCATGTAGCCAGCACGAGCATTGGACTTCTAGATGCTGACATCAGAGCGGTAAGTGTCATTTCATGTCACTCGTAATCAAGGAAACCAAAAAACTGTTACAAATTTCTTGCATCGGTATTCCGCACCATGGATTTGGAGAAAATTTAAACACCAAGCGCATTTGTTTTTAAACATTCATGTTTTATTACATCTGATATTGAAAACATCGTACGCATGTCAGAATCACTCTGTGAATTGCTCATGGTTTTCATTTGTGTGTTGGTATTGACCAGTTCCTTAGGCAAGTGACTGTTGACCAGTGACTATTGACTGGTGACTTTTGACCGGTGACTATTGACTGGTGACTATTGACTGGTTACTATTGACCGGTGACTATTGACCGGTGACTATTGACTGGTGGCTATTGACTATTCTATTTCAGGCTATGTACAGTAATGTCATAGTGACCGGAGGCAACACCCTGCTGTCTGGATTCATAGAACGCTTGCAGAGAGAGCTACAGAACAAGGCACCACAGGTGACTATTTACTTCATCCCAAGGATGGCATTAGAGAAAGAAGTTGTCATGCTTACTGATGTAATAAGTGCCATCGGTAGTTTCTTGACATTGCTGAAAATAGAGTCAGTGATGTCAATGCCATCAAAACTAAGATTGACAATAAATAAAAGAGTGCCACCAAGCCGACCATCACTAATCTGGCCCTCATCAGCCCATCAGCAACCTGTACAACCACTGAACTTTCACCTCATAAAAAACCCACAGGCTAACTTCTGCTGTTGACTTAAGTGCTTTTTAAGGTTTTGCCAAGGAATAAGGCAAGTTGTTTTGTTTGGCCTCTTGCAGAACATGCGCCTGAAGATCATTGCTCCTTCGGGTACCACAGAGAGACGGTTTAGTGCATGGATTGGTGGTTCCATCCTTGCCTCCTTGGTAAGTACCATTGGTTTATCCTGAAGTTCATTGCAGGACCTCTGTCAAAACCATTCCTGGACCCTATCCCTTCAGGGAACTTTGGCTAGAAACCCTCTCAGACACATCAGTCTGCATCATTTGTCAAAGTGGCTTGCCTGCCCAGTGTAACAAGATCCAACAGGTCAATTCTCCCCAAGGCCAAACAGCCTGGGAGTCTGTGGTTGCCAGCCACCACAAGATCCAACAGTGGCATTGTTCAATGAGACTAGCTCCCATTGTCTCAACATAGCCAGTGTGTTCGGCTGCCCTTGATTGCCTAGGGCATCAGTGTGCATCAGACTTTTTCACCGGATGCATCATGCTACGTTTGGCAGGGTTAGAGTTTAGTTACAAATTGGCCACATTGAATTGACAGTGAGGTTAATAATTCACCTGGGAACGCGAGAATAAAAATTAAAGGCAATGAAATGAGTTGTACCTCACTCCGATTTGCTCGGGAAAAATTGCAACAATTACACTGACATGGGTGAAGGATAATTAAGTGTGAGCTTCAAGTCACACAAGTCTATTATCGTGATGTCTTCTCTTTCTGTAACAGGGCACCTTCCAACAGATGTGGATATCCCGACAAGAGTACGAAGAAGCTGGTAAAAGCTGCGTGGAAAGGAAATGCCCATGAACTGTTAGTTTTCACAGTGTTCCTCACCAGGTCTGCCACCCCCAACGTCCCCTACACACCAGGCAGTATTTTGGCACAGGAAGCGTGTCAAGACTCGGGATGTTGGTATTCCGTTCAGAACCTGCAAGAGCCTTCATGCTGTGTTCGTTATCGTGCATTAAGCAAGCCAGAGTGGCCTTCATGAAGAGGCGTACTAAGAGATATGGATTTTGTCTTCTGTTTTGAAATCTTTTCCCTCATGGGTTTGTAAAGTGGTAGCGTTTGGAGACACCTAAAGAAAAGGTCACTTTTGAGAATAAGTCTGGTTCTGATGAGGACCATTTGTTTGAAATTGGCATTGGTTTGTGGCCCACCTGAAGACTGTAAGCCATTTTATGGAAAATGCTACCAATGTATACTCAATGGCAAAACCACAATAGTCATTTCCCATAAGTTGAAATACTCTTGTCGTCCTAAAAACAACCAGAGCTCACTGCCTGAAATGTTACCCCAAGCCAGCAGTTTCTAACAGAGCGCCACTTCTTCCCAAAGACTGTCTACATGCAGACCATATCACTGTAACCAGAACTTTGTCATAAAAGATGTGAAAAAAAACAAAGAAAAACAAGATTTGCCGAAATTTAGATTCTAAAAATGTACTTTCTATTACTGTTTAGTTATAATAGTGTTCTTTATGTCAAGAGTCGACTGTATTTCTGCATGAGAACACTTGGTATTACCTGCTATCCGGTTCGTAAGTGTGACGTCACTTCAGGTCAAAAACACGCCCACTGCACATGCAGAGCACAGAGTTACATGCATTGATCGCCGTTTACATGGAACCATGGAACTGGAAGTTAATGCGTAATTTCAGTGATTGTCCAATGAGAGCCTGCAAATCGCGGCACATCCGCCGTTGTGACGAAGTCACTTACAAACCGAATGCATCACCAGTTTTTGTCTGATAGAGGTTTAATATGAACATTGCAAACATTTCAAAGGGTTACAATCACAAGACCAGTCAGGCAACAAATGTTTGGAGCATTTGCATATTTAAACAAGGAATCAATAACAAGGTGTCCTATCGATCAACTTTTGAGTCTAAGACTTGTGATCGTGTTTATTGTGAAGACATCAAGAAAAACAAGTGCATGTCTTTTATGCAAATTTTGTGTACAGATTAGACAAGCGCTCTTAAACACCTTTTGTCTTTATTTGAGATGTCACCAAGGAAGTTTTATTTTAAAAAATTCTCATTTTTTTCCCAATTTTGTTTATGTATACGTGTACTTTATCAATAGCAGTGTTAAACTTGGTTTAACATTGACTCGGGTAAGTCCCGAAGAATTCCAATCTTGTCCATTAAAAAACGTTTGTTTCTGCTTGGATTTTTCTTCTGTGTCTTCAAAAATTTGCATCGTAGGCCCAGACTGATTTATTTCGGATTCTTGGCAAGGTGTCCCGTTCATGGATAAGAAATGACATATTGAAGGTTGTAATGGCGTTCATTTGTTGGAAGAGGCCTCGTGTACACAGACCTGTGTGTTTGGCACGGGCCCACTGACGTTTAATACACGTCTGTGCATGGGCTGCGTTTGGGCTCCGTCTGAGGCTTCGTTCCCAAAACCAATCCCCGATTGTGGGCCTGAAGCGTTTAAATTAAATTGGATTACTGTAATTTCTGGCTCTCTTTTGCATTTTATTTGATGTTTTGTGGCACTATTAAACTAATTACTGCGCTTACAGCTTCAAGGTCAGCTAGTTAATATATATATTAATTATTATATATCACCCCCACACGTTTGAAATGGGGGATGAGCCACTGAATCACCACCCACCCACACCCATGCACACTCACCCACACAGTTTGGGTGATGTGCAAAAAAGGAAAGCGGATTGTGAAAAATTTTCAGGGTTTCCCAACGAAAAATGTTTGCAATGTTACTAAAAAGGGAAAGCAAGTTTAAAAAGCCATAAATGACATTCTAACGACAGATCCTGCTTGAAATTGATACACATTATAGATGTACATCTTTACCATGAACATCACCCCCTATATGGACCCCCCCCCTCACAGGTTTGTGCCACTGACTTAAAAATGCACAGATCAAATCACATACATTATTACAAATTACAATTAGTTAGGAAAAGGTCAAAGTAATACAAAAAAGTAAAGGCAAAGTAATATACCGTCGGGACCTCTTTGTTTAGCTACTGTCAGTTCTAAAGAAAATACTGAGTGAAAAATTAGGTTACCAAAACCGCTGTATTGCATTGCATCCATCAGAGAAGGTTGGTTGAACTCATAAATGGGATAATATGTCAGGAACAGATATCCTTTGGGGAGTGGTACAGATCGGTGTCAATTAGGAGGAAATGGGAAGTTTGGCCTTGTACCCTGCTGTTACCAACAGGAAGGAAGAACTCGGCTGAATATCGTGTTTCAATACGTGTTAAGGACTGGCGTTTGAAAAGAACCAATTTCTAGAAGTGTCACAAGTCTTCTCTTGGGTTCACAAATGATTTTGGAGCAATGAAAGAATGATTATTATGAAGTTAAATGCGTCTCTTAACAATACAATTAACCCTTAAACGAGAAAATAATCGTTTTGTTGTGCTCATTTCCTATCCAGAATAATATCTGCTATCGCATGTCATGTCAGCTGCTTGACATAATCATTCAATTTTCAACTTGTACTTCAGTGTGAGTTCATTTTAACACTGATTTCTACGAAAGCATAGTGCTGTCAACGCGAAATAATTATTCTATCTCGTTGAAACGACTTCGTATCTCGTTTATACGAGAAACATGTAGAGATATCTCGTTTAAGCGAGATAACTAAGTCGTTTGAGCAAGATAAGTATGTCGTTTAAATGAGATAAAATATTTGTTGCGTTCGGAGCAATACGCTTCCGTAGATTTCCATAGTTATCACTGCTTGCCCAAAACTAGCCCCACTAGTGTGGCACGGATTCTCACTCCCGATTAAGGATAAATCGGGAGTGAGAGTCCGTGCCACACTAGTGGGGCTAGCCCAAAACCGCTGTGTCAACGTACAGTGAAAGCACTGTTAACCGTATATGACCATTTTAAAAACAATCCACTTGTTACGTTTGTGAAAAATTCTGTTACATCCACTTTTTCTAGAAGCTTATAAATATACTTGTCAATTGTGATTATTGATTATGCTAATTATACATGCTATTATTCTATGTAAGGTTTTATGTCGAGCTTTAAACGAAAATTACATTGTGTCTACATGCATCACATCAAAGGTCGCGGAAGCGAGTGTCTTTGAGACGACTTGTGAAGCCTGTGTTATATAACGTTCACTTTCCACTGGCGGAGGCATTCACAGATCCAGGCAGAACATAGACACGGATACCTGGCTTATCGTAGCTGCTCCACACCTTGAAAAAACCAGCTAGACCATCACCCTTCACTTCCCAAAGTGATCCATCTCTTCGGGCGCCGGAGCCGCGGTCATCCCACAAAGATGGTTCACCAAGAACCGCGGGTAGGAGTAGGCCAAGATCTTCCCGGATGCAGGCGTATTTTCTCGTGAAGGCCGGGGACGGCTTGTCATAACCGTTGACAACAATGTCGCCAAGTGCAACGTAGTTCTGGGGTGGAATCGCGCGCCAAAAGGACCCATCCTCGCGACCTCCCGATCCATGGTCATTCCAGATGGGCTCATAGTCGACGGGTGGCTTGACCAAGGGCGGGTCTAATTCTTGAGCCGGCTTGATAAGGAAAATACAAGAAGGTGGAGCGCCGGGACGATAGCTCGTTTTCCCGGGCATGGCAGCCTGCCCGATCATGTAATAACCATCGGGAATCGACGCCAGATCGGCTTGGACAACAGTCAGGTCTCTATTGGCGCCAGTCCCATCATCGCCGTACACGTGCACTATCTTCGTTGCAGTAATGACCTGGAACATCTCGCGTTTGGCTGACATTTTCCCTGGATTCTCCAATAAGTTTACAGAAGGATCGGAGCAACCAGTTTCTTCTTTCACCGTCGATTTGGTACACGATCATTGACAAGGCTGAGATCAACCAACTGTTTAAACAGTTGAGCACAGGGCATTGTTGAAATGAAATCAATCCAATGAGCGCTCGACAAAATGACGTCATGCATTATTTTGTCGTTCGGTTCCCAGGTCCCTGTGAGCGAAGGCGGTGACGGGACCGTTGGTGTACATCGTCAAAAACATCGCATTCATATAGCTTTGTATGTTCCCTCCAATTGGCTGCCAATACTGAAAACTAGCGGCGCTACCCTAAGTCACGCCTGGTTTCGATTGCTTGACTAAGTCACCCACATAATCCATCGGTCGGAAGATGTTGCTCATCAACAGCTCAAACGATAACTACAGGCAATTGATTGAATGATTTTTTGATTGACTTCAAAAGCATACATTATACGGCCGATACTCGACTCTCGGTCTCTTTCAACCTCAGTTAATTACTCATCGTTCCTTGCCTAAAATCTTAATAGTACTTTCAGTGATTGTTGATGGTAGTTTTAAATGAATTAAAGACTATATTGTAGACTTCTATTTGCATTTAATGCCTCGTTGTCCATACGCTTAATAACTTAACACGGAAATTGTGCCACATCAAAATGAAAATTATTCCTTACGTACGAAGGAGAAGCGGGGCCATAATTTGTGCTTTGTGTATAACTTCAAAAGTAACCAAGTCAGTCCATTTTGGACGGGTGGAACCTAGGAGCCTTTGAGTATATTGGCCGGACTCAAATCAGGGCTGTGAACTAGAAACTAAATCCTTAATCTGTGTAGCTATAGGGAGCACTTTCCAAAGTTGGTTGATCCTTGAATTTGTATTTACTGTAGTCACGGGATTCAAGGGAAACGGACTTTATAAATATCCTACAGACAACTGTTTGGTCGGAGCATAATTAATTTGGAATGACTTATTACAGTTAGTCAAAGGTGTACTACATTTTTACAGTCTGGTTATTTCAGATCAGGTCTTCGTTCCGTTGCCCTAATACACCTGCACTGGAAAGGAATAAAATAGAAATACTTAACCTTAAAAGAGCGGGGTTATTTTGGCCCATCTTATAACCAGGGGCGGATTCCGGAAACAATCAATATCATTACAATGTGAAATTGGTTTTGTTATGGTTTTGTTGTTACGGTCATTTGCATTTTATGGCTGCATGTACACATGCGTGCCAGGACACGCGTGAATTGAGCACCGCAGTGAAAAAGGTATACGGTATACCCTTCTAGGATAAAAATGCGCACTGCGCGAGAACGGCATTATGTTCGATTTTTGAAAAAAATGGATGTCACAATGACGGCAGAGAGTGACTCTAAAAACTGCAAAAGGCTCAATTCCTGAAAAAGTGCACTGCGATAATATTGGGGAAAAGGGACAGATTCCACCCCCTGCTCTTTTCGGGTTAAGTAGCTTCTATACAAGGCTTGGAAAAGTGTACAGAGTTTCGAGGAAGGCAAAGGTTACGATTGTGTTTGAGATCATCCCGGAACTCAGTTGAAGGACAGGGGTGATGCGGGTTCATAGGTTTGGACTTCCGCACTGGTAATGTTAATTAAAGGGAAGGTGTACCAGGGACGTCCTTTGGAGAATACTGTAGATTGGTGTCAACTACGAGAAAAGAAGGAAGTTTGTAGCAGTGTAAGGAAGAAAGATGGACATTTTAGATTTGCTGAAGAGCCGAAACATGATGTCATTCAAGGCAGAACAGGAGTGCCTCCATAGCTTGGTGTCACGGGCCTCGCTACAGGAGGGTGTCGGGGGTGTCAAACCCCTCATTGGTTAGTTTTGTCGGCAAATCATGGTCTGTCGGCAAAATAAAAAAAAAACCAGGTAGGTGTCGGGCTACGGAATCAGACCACAGTACCCTCGTTTTGCGTGACGGTCCGTCGGCAAATTTTACTGTGCCCCCCCCCATTCAAAATAGTCTAGCGACGCCCATGCTTGGTGTAATAATTATGTATCACGTTCAATGGGCACAGATATCCTTTGGAGAACAGCACAAGGTGGTTTCAGCTCGGTGAAAACCTGCAGGAAGTGTCCCTGCTGTGACCGACTTTCACCAAAACTTCGCGGCAAGGTGACATCCTTGTAGTTGTACAGCTTTCAACTGCTGGACGTAATGTTGGTGTCCACCTGACGTCAAAAGCATGCATTAAACGGCCGATACTAGACTTTCGGTCTCTTTCAACCTGAGTTATCTCATCGTTCCTTGCCAAAATCATAATAGGACTTTCAGTGATTGTTGATGGTAGTTTTAAATGAATTAAAGACTACATTTTAGACTTCTATTTGCATTAAATGTCCGTCGCTGTACATATAGTATAATCTTGTTATCTTGTCATGAAATCTTTGCTACATCGATGTGAAAAGTATTTTGACGAAGGGAAAGCGAGGCCATAATTTATATGTGTAGCTTCAAAGCATCGAAGCAGGTTCATTTTGTCGGAAGAAAATTGGCCCCAGGTATGAAAGGTAACTTGGCTGGAAATCGTTCTAATCAAGCATCCTGAGGAATTGCGCGCAGTGTTTGAATAGAGTATGAAAACTGCTCTCTCAGCATGTTTTATTTGGAGAGAAGTGATTACTAAGTCACTAGGCGCTATTTTAGGTTTAGCGATCATTTTTTACACCATGGCAAAACCGAATTGTCTGATGGGTTTCAAAATGATTTCGAAGAAATATTAGAGAGTTAATCGTGAGATTAAATCATGGTTAATTTCTCTCGGTCGACAAAGAAGATCGAACCATGATGCAACCCTAACCTTTGGTTTGCATGCTTCATATAACCCGGACACTTGTCATTCGACCAATGAAAAACACGGGGAGTTTCTCTCCCTTCTCCGACACTGTCTCCGTATAGAAGACAACACATAAAGAGTGAAAAAAGCGACGCAGGATGTTTCTCGGAGAAGTCTTAGACACTTCATGAATTGGTTTAATAACATTTCATTAATTTGCATTTTAAAAATTTTAATACAACACGTCATTTGTACACTACAATGTATTACAAAATAAAATTGTTCTAGTTTGTTCCAAAAGCCAAATCAACAATGTGGTTGTACATGTAATTGCAGCAATGCAACTTATTACTTTTTCAGTGTTTTAAGATAAGTTTAATCAAGATTTTAAAATCAATGGTTCCGAGGGGGATTAAGAATAATACACGTAAGCCTACAAAAAAGACATAAAATGCAAGTTACCAAACCACTTTCACAACATAAGTGCTATCACTTTCTACTGGCTGTTAAGCCTTTCTGCAGACACAACTCTTTCAAATGGCTTTTATGCCGACTAAACAATGAGGCCAAACAAGTCTTGACAGTACCGATCTACATACAGACTACAGCAAGCATATAATCTGCTTTTTAATGGACAACCAAAGTGGAATCATACATTGCTTTCAAGAAAGAAAAGGGTTAAGTCTGAAGAACAGTAAAATATCCAAGTTATTTCCTAATCTGTATTGATTTCTCATTTGCAAACTCAAGTGCAAGTAAATTATTTCCAACTGCGCCGACATGAAAAATTCACATTGTCGAGAGCATGGTGATCAACAAGCAACTGAGAGAAATCGTTGAGAAAAGCTTGAACTCTTGCAAAGCAAGTCAGGGTTAGTCCATATTTGTTCCACCCGTAGCATAGTACATGTACTCTCTATCAACCAATGAGAAAGGACATTATATTTTCATTTCTTCAGAGAATTATAACCCTTTTCCCGGCATGTGGTAGATACACCAGGTTTTTGTTTTATTTTATTTCATCTTGATATTGCCTTTACCTTTTTGGTTGCACTTTTTTATTTTGCAGCCCTAAATAGCGTTACCTATGGTTGACGAAAGACAAAGACAAGCTATGCAGTTTCTTATCAACAGGTATCACTAGAAACTTCCAACAATGCCATGGTCGGCTAAATCACATATATAAATGTAAATTATATCAAAATAAACCAGCATTCGTGGATGTATTTGTATTAAAATTTGAAAAATTTCAGATAGTAATATTTAAAAGTCAAGAGAATCTGTACATCTAGTATTTCCATCTGCGAAAAATTATACACAAGCTCACAAAATCACGTCACATCTGTTTCAGGCACTTCCTTGTAAGATTTTCTGAGATAATCCAATTACTGATTTGTTTCCATTCTAATTTATTTTGGGGATTATTTGTGGCTGTCTCTATCTTTAAAGATGAACAGGTAGATGTGTCAGGGGTCGTAAGCAACTTGTAGACATGATGGATTACCTATTATTTGATTTGTTGATATCGGCACTGTCACCTATGTTGTTCCTGATCCTGTACTGGGTATGACATTTTGATTGCTGGTATCTCTCTGTTTTGGTTGGTGTCACTGTCAGTGCTGTGTGGTTGCTGTCAGTGCCTGTGGGGATGCAGGCTCATTTGCGCAGTTGTTTTGTGGTCTGAGTGTGCTTGTGTCTAGGGTTCTGCTGCTTCCTGTGCCTTGGTGTCTGTTGCCACTGGCGTCTGGGTGTCTGTCACTCCTGTAGCCTGGTCGTCAGTAGCAGCTTGCATCTTGCAAGCTTTCGCTGCCTGGGGCTTTGTAAGCCTATGAATAGCTTTGGCTTCAATTATCTCGAAAGCTTGGGTCACCGGTGATATGATGGTATTGACGACAGCTTTGGCAACAGTGGTCGTTGGTGATGTCATTGAGCCTGGCGACAAATACTCCATAGGGGCCAGGACCTTTTTGATGAACCATTCACCTGTACGGCTTTCCTGTCTGTCACACATCAGCACACTGGTGATAAAGCATAAAAAGTGAATATCGTTTCATTTTCAAAAAGTCAGCACCAACCGATAAACATACACGTACTTCTTATTACCGAAAATAGGTCATTTGGGAGACATTCCCATAAGAACGTGCACAAAGTTTACTGTCCCATAATTCAATATTCCCTAATCTGATCTGAGCCAAACTTTGTATGTTTTCAATTTAGACCCTAATCTATCATCTCTCAAAATTTGGACAGTAAAATTCGGCCTCCTTCTGATAGGTGGGGCATTAGGGAGACATTGACATACCTACCTGTAGAGCAGGTCATTTTGATACTCTGTAAAAATAAAACACACCTTGCAAGATGTATAACAATGTCAACTTGGAATCCACAGGCAGGGACAAAACTGTTCATTTTTACGGAACCCACGTAACAATGGACACCGTCACAAATTGTACCCCAACCTCATGGAAAGACCCATGTACACAAACACAGGGTCTGTTGTTTACACACTAATACGATGACAAGTTTAATTCAATTTCATTCAAGTCAATTATAATATTTCCTCCTCAGGCAAAATATAACTAATAACAATGTATGAGATAATAGACCACTAAAGGGGGGCAAAACCTTAAAAGCAGAGTTTGTGTCAGATATGCCATGACAAGAAACAAACGACAACACAAAAGAAACAACAAAATACAAACAGGGAACACATTACACAGGTACACAGTACAAATGTGCATGAAGTTGCTTAACGATCAAGCCCTATTAGGATTAACTCAAAAGTGGGCTTTCTGCATCAATTTCAGACTCGACAGTTGGATAGAGGGCGCAGAACAATGGCATAAATATCAGGCAAGGGAGTGGGGAGGTTAGCGTGAATCCAAAATCCACCCTCCCTCGAGGGAGAAATGATACTCACGCTGGTCGATAAACAGTTGCTCTCTCAAAGCCAAGCTCACGAGTCTCCTCTTCCACTTGTCCCTGCAAAACAAACATGAAAGTTACTGACTCCGCCCCCTCACAGAACTGGAAATACATGTACAGGCAAGCTTCAGCTCTTCTTAACTGCCCCCCACCCAACAAATTGACAGAGTCCCTGTAATCTGATTGGTAGAGTGTTGATCATGTCATGAAATGTTCATCCCCATGCAATGAATTATTCATTACATTAATTAATGAATTATTCATGTGGGCATACCGGATAATTGACATGCACCATTCTCGAGCAAATGATAGAGCTAAGGTCACAAGTATTTTCTGAACTCACAGGATACTGAGATTTATTCTGGTAATGAGCACTTTCAAAGATATTTTCTGGATTTATTCAGATAAAACAATGAATGGTCAACGTTTGCGTAATTGACATAGTAACTTTATTTGGTAATAGAAGGAATGTTCCATGCATGCATTCTCAACCTGTGAAATTAGTCTCACCAAACAGGCTCATAAATATTCAAAGTTTGGTCCTTACCTTGACCTTTGTATACAGAAAAAAACTGTTTTTGTTGGCACCCAAAGAAGAAATCAGGTTGTAATGTTTGCAACCTCCTGCCTTAGCTAGCTCAGCAACCTTCATGGTGTAGTCATGATCAACCTTAATGAACCCTTCCTGAAATAAATTGACAACAATCGAGATTGAGTGTAAAACATCGTTGAAGCTTTTTTTATAAAAGACTTGAACCATGCCTCGACCTCAAGCTTTAAACTAGCCCAAGGGGCAAGTTGACTCATTCTTTCACAAATCTGCAGGAATTTTTACTAGCCCACTGGACATTGCTTAGCAAAACTTACATGTACTAGACTGATTTTTTTCATCTTCACAATATTAACCATCACCGTGGCATCCTGCCAAGTTTAAAACTTTCATAGTGCAGGATTCAAATCTGTTACGTCATAAGAAACATTAACAATCTAAATTCACAATGCTGGTAATCTTTGTTTCATTCAAGTTACAAACAAATGACAGTTTCAAACAGATCTGCAGGTGTTTCTTTACTGGCCCCGTGGGCAAATTAAAGAATGCGCTTTGCTAATTAACCTGCAGCAGTTTTGAAAGTATCTGTACGCTGGTCTAGAGCTAAGGTTATCGCTTGCTTGAACAGATCACTGACAAAAAATTCAGTCCTCAATATATGGCTGTGACAGAACTAGTTGGCTATGGCTGGATAATGACACTCTATGAAAAGCCACAACCGAGTGGCTTCATTCATTTTTCATAGACACGTGCATTAGTTTAAGCCATAGCCAAGTCGATGGGAAACTGCCTAAGCATTATACAGGGTGACGACATCTTGATTGTGATTATTACCTTGCCGGCTTTGCCTTTGGTCGTGCCCAAGGCACAGATGCCAACGCTGTGACCCTTGAAGACATTAGCAAAGTCGTCTAGCTTGTCAAAATCAACAATTTTCTGCTCCTAGGTACACGTATATTGACAGAAAAAAAAACAATTTTATTTAATCCCTTCACAAATTAATCACTGCTAACCTCTAATCACACACCAACAAACTGGGGTTTCCCCACCACTGCCTTCGAGCACTGAAGTCGGTGTTCTAGGCTTTCCTGTTGTCGTTTTTGTGGAATTCAAAGCTTACAGAATAGCCACAACTCAAGACATGATCTAAGCAGTTTCAATCATACTTCTTGAAGATGATGCTGGTTGGAACTTACTCAGTAAGTAAGAGTAAAGATTAATAAATGTTTACACCACCAGCCTCTTTCAAGCTTGTCAACACAAGATAAACAGTGCAAGCTAATAAAAAATAAAAAATGCAGAGCCTTCTCAGAGTTAGACCCTCTTAGTTTGGAAACCCTCTAGTGGAGTGGGGACAGCATGAAAGTCATGAAGCTACCCTGATACTTGATAATTCAAAGCATTTCTTTGTTATTCTGTTGTCTACCTGTGACTGTATGGCCTTGTGACTGGTCTTTGAATGAGAAATTCCACCTGCTGGGAGTACTGCTCACCATCTTGAAATCTTTGAAGAGTTCGTCTTCATACTTGACCTCTCTCCTGCCAATCAAGAATACGTTGCTGAAGATCTTGGTGCGAGCTAGCTCCTTGACGACTTCCTTGCCCACCTCTCCAGTGTAACCGACTACAAACGCAGTCTGATTCTTTTCTCTAAACGCGTCCATCTTCTCGTCTATATTGCTGGCCATTCTGTATTCACACAGGTTAAATACCTGTACATATATTGCAATGTGTTTGAGTTTAGCTCACAGGCACCAAAATAAGGGCCTAAACCAAACTGGAAAGGACACTGAGAAATTCAGTAACATTAACATGATCAAAGATTCAAAACATTTTGAATTATTTAATGACTATGATCACGCAGACACATTAAAGGGGAGCTACAATGGATTGTTCTTAGACACAACTTTTCTGCTACTTAAATGTTTGCACCCTCTTTCATATCTTTTGCACTCCCATTTGGTTATTGTAGTGAAAAGTGCACTTTTTAGTCATTTATATTGTCCATGCTTTCCTGGACAGCTGAGGGCACTATTGCTGTGATGTCATCCAAGGGAGACTTATTGCATAGGCTTTTCTATTCAGATTGTGAGCCCTGGATTTACTCACTGAAAACTTCACTGCCAAAAGTATTGGTGCTCACTTGTTGCTATGCACATAAACAACAATCAATGAATCAGCATAGAAGAGCAAATTTACCGTCCAGCAAATCTACAAATATACATGAGTTTGAGCACTTGCCGATGTAACTTTTCCCGGGATGATATCACACTTGTTCTCATGAATATGGAAATAATCATTAAGCAAAAAGGCAGCAAAATACCCTTTTAAATGTTGAAAATCAGGTTGACTGCATTGAAACATAAAGTGCCCTTTAAACATAGGCCTTGACCTATAAAATGTTCAAATAATGTCTCCCAAATTTTCCCATAAAAGAAGCTCGATTATTAATTTATAACACCCCCGCCAAGTGACCACACCCACATTGATGCAAGCTTCAACGTTTTAAACGCGTACGGTGTTTATGTAGTATCGAGTACAGTACACTGGCCTGGCCCAGGCATAACACATTTCTGGGGTTAAATGGACTTCGGTTCTGATAAATCAGCAGTCCTACCTGTTTATAATCTCTTCGTTTTCGATTGGAATCTGGGCTATGTATCCGATGATCAGCGAAATCACCAAGAAAATTACAGCTAAACTGGAAAAAATGCGACAGGCCCACATGACACGGCACAATATTTGGTATGCACAAAAATTGCTTGTTTACGGCTTGAAATTACGCATGGGTCTATGCCGGCGGTTGCAGCCACTTCCAATAGAGCTGTGTGTAATTTGAAGCCGCAGCCAAGTAAATCGGACATGGCTGAATATACCCTGCATAATTTTGGTGCGGTACCTATATTTCTGCAAGGGGGAATATTAGAATAGTGCAGTGGGTCACCTGACTAAGAAAGAATGCCCACAAAGCCGCGGGAAATCACACGTAAAAACTTAAAATGGCACACGGACGAAGTGTTTAAAAGAGGCGATTCGTTTGCGTGAATTTTCCTTCGGTTTTCAGGTTTGATTGGTATCTACTATGGCTGCTGATGAAGAAAAACCTGGAGACTCAATAGAAAAGGAGAAAGTATTCAAAGAAGTGAAATACTACGTCATTGGGACGCTCGAGGACTCGGTAATATAATTTTTACCGTATGGCCTAGAACTAGTACTTGTAGTAGAAGAGGCGATTCGTTTACGGAGGAGGCATTACACTACGACTCGCCTTAGGCCTCTAACCTTCATCATTTATGGACGGCCTTCGTAGAACAGTACTATTAGACCATAGACCTAACATTCATCATGACTGGCACTAAAACTTAGGTGACAGGCGTTCATAAATGTAGTAATACGTACCCTACTAACGTACCCTACTAAGCACGGGCTATGCATCTTTGTACATGATGTAGGCCTTGGCCTACATGGCCTACACATGTGCATGTTAGGCCATGTTTACTGACAATGACTGAGGCAGGCTTAAAATTTTGCAACTGTTTTTTCTGTTTTCTTTTTGAAGTGATTGTGGAGAAGATGTCAGAAGAAACCTTTCGATATAAGTTTGGATTCCATCGGACTCTGCAAAGCCAAAAATATTGATTTAAAGCAGGGATGTTTTGAGATGTTTTGTGATTTTTTTTTTGGTACACGCGTTTAATGCAGAGCAAATTATGATTAATATGTACAAAAAATGAGTGTGGATTTTGAGTGAAAAACGTAACATTTATATTTTTATAAAGTGTTTATTCTTTTTCCTGCCTTATTTCAACGAATTAAACGCTGGCATCACCTGAAATTGCACGAATAGAGACCATCGCAACAAACAGGACTCACAGTAAAATGTACATATGTGCACTGTAGGCCTCACAAACGTTGCAAGCCAATCTGACGCACGTGGGTCAGCCATGGCTGAAGCAGATTTCTGGACATACAAACGCCATCTAAACGGAGCTGAGCGCATGAAGTATGGATGAAACGCATAAACACGGCATTTTATAGTTATACGGCTGCTAGAAGATTTAGAACTCTGATTTTTGTGATTTGGTGTCTTTCTCACAAATAATGAAAGCTTTGTAAATAATGATTTTTGGGGGCGGTTGTGTCGGGACATGTGGGCGGTGGACACAAATCTACAACGTCTAGTCTCATGTCTTATTCTGTATGCTTAATATCATTGATTCTGTCATGATTGTGTGTATTTGCAGATTGAAAAGTTGCTACAGGATGGCGGTGGGAGTCAGGAATCGTATTTGACAGACAGGGTGACGCATGTGATAGCAGAAGAAGATGACCACCCTGAGATTAGTGAAGCCCGGGATCTCTTTGACCTGCCGGTCGTATCGGTGAATTTCATTTCCATTTTTTAGATTGATTAAGAATAATATCAAAGCATTTATAAGATGCACAGTATCTAACAGTATCTGAAATTCAAAGGCGCTGATATACTATCATTGTCATTGCACGTTGGGCTCACATCATTTGAACATTCCTGAAACCATCTCAGCTCCCTGGGGAGTATACTAGCCTTGTTGCTGCCATTTTGGTACAAACAGCTAAACATAACCGTGTCTGCCCTCACAGACACCCATTTACTCCTGGGTGGCAAATTAGTTACAAACTTCGGCTATAATACTGAGCAACTGGCAGGAAAAAAAATCTAGCGCAATAAAAAAAGGAAGCACTTACTGAAATAAATTGGTAGATAAATTTGCAACAAATTTATTGTTCTTCGTCCTGATGTCATAAAATAATGGTTTCCCTCGTAGCCATCGTGGGTTGAGATGTCCCTGCACTGTGGTAGAGTCCTCCCTACCAAGGCATTTCAACCGGAGAAGTCGCAGCTCTTTTCCAACGTCAAGGCTTGCTTCTCTCAGGTGAGATAGTAAAAAGTCCCAGCCCTTGACTGAATGGCACGACTGTGGCTAGATACAGTGCATGAGCCAGTGGGAAATGGGTGTAGCCGCTAGCCAGTGGCTTTGGGTGTCAATTTCCAAGTTAAATTTCACTTCCATGGTACAATTTAATTCTAACAATTCCCGACCAGGAAAGGTCCAATATCAGAGCATGTTGGACTCTGTTGGGATGAGTACTGCATTGGTGTACTGACTGTGCTTTATGTGGGATTAGGCATACCTGAAATAAACAGAGTCCAACTGTTGATGTGCACAGTTTACTTTATGGTGTTGGGATTTGCAAGGATGTGTAAGCTTGTTCTAAATCACTCTAGGTAGTTCGGGTTGAAAGATCGTCACATTTTTTTTTTTTTTCTGAACTGAAAGAAGAACAAACCCCATTGACCTTGATTAAAACCAACATTTTATGAATTTCCTCCTTGAAGTGACAAATATTGATCGATTCAGTGTATCCTATCAATGATCCAGCTATTATTCATATTTTGACCTTGGTTGTCAATATTTCAGATGTGTGCAAGAGACCGTGAGGCATTGTGGGCCATGGTGACATTCTACGGCGGATCTTGCCAGCTAAATCTCAACAAACACTGTACTCATCTGATCACTCCTAGTACCGAAGGGGTAAGGTCACCACCATGGCATGACCACTGCCAGTATATAGCAGCTCTTAGCATAGAAATGGAACGATCCAGTAAGCCACGCCCTTTGTTCACAAGGGCACTGAACGCACGCTCTTCTCCAAGGCCACACTGCGTGATCCACCCGTGCCCATTAACATTTTCAATTGGGCAGTTTTTGCTTGTTCAGATTAGCAAAACCCACATTTTTTGGGCATAATTCTGTAAAGCTGGCGAACAAATACTTGGTGCAGTGTAAATAAGGACTCAGAAAGCACCAAGGGATGTCAGGTTCAACAATTTTCTTAATAGAGAACAGGCTTTTTCCGATTATTTTCCGTTAAGGTGCAGGTAGATATTTTAAGCCGAGAGGAAACCTTGGCTGGAACTGTAAAATCTTCGGTGACTAATCGTACAAATGAGTGATGCCGTCATCATTTGGATCAAATTTAAACGCGTAGTTACATGGTCCATTCACATGTCTGAGTTATAATGCTGAAAATAAATGTTGAATCTTTCTTTTGGTAGGCTAAATATGAATGTGCTGTGTGCCATGCTGACGTTATCAGTATCGTCACGCCAGACTGGATTATCGATACCATCAATGCCAAGAAGCTACAAGCAACAAAAACATACCATCCAAGTTTGGTCGTAATCAAGGTACCAGAAACAGACTCTGAGGTGCCCATGGAAACAGACTCGACTGTGATCGATGGCAACGACAGCCAGTCACAAGAGACATCTCAGGACGAATTGAAAGCGTCCCAGGATGCCCCGGGCCAGCTGCTGACGCACGGCACCCCGCAGAAGCAAGCCATGAAGGCCGTCTTCAAGATGAAGGCGCCGTGGCAACAAGAACTACCTCTCATGCCGGAGCTTCCTCCTGTCGCTGACATAGCCCCGCCCCCGGTGTCGCACCGCAAACACAAGAAGGAGAAAAAGAAAAAGAAGAAAAAGAACAAAGACAAGGACAAAAGCCGCAAAGACAAGAAGAAAGATAAGCATTCTCACGAGCGACACACCGGCACCGCCAGCCCTAGTAGCAGCAGCACCATCACTGAACCCAATAGCAACAGCCCTATGAGTAACTCTTTACCCAGAACGCTGCGCAACATCACCAACGGTGTGGATGCGTTCATGCCCACTATGCCGCAGGGCGGAGAGAAGAGGCAGATGTCACAGGTCCTGAGTGCTATCGCCGGAATGGCATCGCAACAGCAGACGCGTAACGAGATGATGAACGCAAACTTACCGCTACCCGAACAGAAAACGTACTACGGACACGATCCAACGTACACGCGTAAGTCTATTTATTTTGACACCATAATTAATTAATCTATAAGAGTTATCTAGACAATAACTAGTCCTCAGTTTGCTGCTCATTCAGAAGGAGTGTTTTTCTTCTGGAAATTTCTTGAACAATACAATAAGAGTAAATATAAAAAGACTAAACAATTGAATTCTGATACTAAAGACACTGTTATTTATTTGGGTCAAGCTTTGGTTTAGTTTAATAAGAGATGCCTTGCACTAGTAGACTGTTTTATGAAGGTAAGAAGGGCACAAAGGAACCAGTCCATTTCAGAGTTGGTGGTCGCTATGCAAAAGTTTGCCCCGAATCAAGAGGTGTACCAACAGTGTCTTTAGTCAGGAGAATTCAAATTATGTTTATGTGCAATCAGATTACTTAGTGTACCAGATTTTATTCCAATTCAACTTTTAGAAGGCTTCTTTACACAGCAGGAGGCAATCTGTGGTCCTTGGTTGCTGTTATTTACCCATGTTCATTGTTCAGCTTATTTGTTTTTCCTCAGTGGCCGGCGAAAATTGTCTCCTCGGGTGCATCTTTCTGATTATCGAGTACCCTCAGCTTCTTGGACCTCATTACATAGCAACGTGGAGAAAGGTATCGATAGGGTTGTCTTTGTCAGATTATTTGAGAAGGAAATAAAGTTTAATCATGGGACAAATTTAACGTCAGTTTTTCCCTTGTACAAATATGCACAAGAATCGTAAGAATTTCTGGCAGATTCATGTGTGTAAAGAAAAGTTGGTGGTGGTCATCAGTGATGTACACTGTTTAATTGCAGGTAATAAGTGAGCATGGAGGCATCGTGGATGACTGCTACTCAGATCGTATCACTCACTTGCTGTGTGACTCGCAGAGGACAGAAGTCTTCAGTCTGGTGAGTTAAAACAATAAAATGACAGGGCTCACATTTGCAAGAAACAAGTGGCTAACGGGCAGGTGTTCCAGAATTAAGTATGGCAAAAGTGAAACAACTGAAGCAATGAGAAGTGACCAAGTGCGCTAGCAGGCAAAAGATTAACACTTGAAGGTGCTTGGAATGATACCAGAGTGACTTGGTTTCAGACATCACTCTTTTCATGAGCCGAACCCAGTGCAAATGTATTTATTGAGTTTGTCAAAAACCAAACTTTAATTGGTTCGACCTGAGTCGCTCTTAATTCTATTTGGTTCGGCACAACTCTAGAACACCTGCCTGAAATGGGTGAAAAATGCCTCTGTAAACTCCAAAATGCTCGATTGGGCCTAATGTTGAGAGCAGCTAGTTCTAGTTTTTCACACTGCTGATGAAAAATGTTAGGTTAAGATTTTTTCCATTTTGGCTAGTTGTTGTACTTAATGGATACAGTCAAGAGCTGTTGAATTCAGAAGCCCAGCGCAAGGCAACTTAGTGCCAATAGTGGCAACATCAGGATCATTAGGAGGAAGAACTCGTCTTCCAAGGCTAACCCAAGTTTCCAGCGCTGCGTTGTTTTGATTTACACGACTTGAAGTGAGTGGAAAAATGTGCTCAATTTTGGCAGGCAATTAAAGACGGCAAGCGGTGCGTGACTGCCAACTGGTTGAACGACTGTTTGAAGATCAAAAAGATGCAACCGCCCTGGAGAGCTCTGCACTTCCCTGTCATCGCTTATCCATTGCAGCCGGCGCCCTGTAAAGATCAGGTCGGTGTACATCCATGGTGCCCTGAAAAACACCAGGAAACTAGGATTTCAGTATGAGTTGCTTGGGAGCTAATGAGCATGTTCCAGTAGTGTACAACCTGGTAAAGGGAATCTTTAATTTTTACAAAGTGGTTTCTGACTGAGAAAGGCCACTGATAAGTAGAAGTGATTGATTACTCAAAGCATATAGCTTTTGCTGGCTTTAAATATGAATACAAGCGTTTAACAATAGGAGTTTGCAACCTGTTGACCAATCACAGTACGCGGAATCTGTCGACCCAATGCGCATTTGGAAAGGGTCGACAGATTTCGCGTGTTGTGATTGGCATCACATCGCAAACTCTTGGAGGCGCTCTATTGTGAATCGCCCATATTGAATGTGGTCTGACATAATTCAATTTATCTTCTTTGTTACAGGTTATTTCTATGTCAGGGTTTGAAGGAGGTGAACGCAATGACGTCAAAACGTTAATTGAGCTACTGGGCGCCAAATACACGGGTTACTTCACCAGGGGAAACACGCTGCTGGTTTGCAATAGGTACGGAAAGAAATGCCTTGAGTGTGCTACAAATTAATCGAGCGACCAGGAGGAGAAGACTGTACTGTGATGGTACTCGTTTTTTTGTCAAGACGAATCTCAAGACCAGTCACAAGACCAGATGCAAGACCAGTCATAAGACCAGACGCAAGACCAGTCACAAGACCAAATACAAGACAACTCATAAGACAAGACGCAAGACCAGTCGGAAGACCAAACACAAGACAACTCATAAGACAAGACGCAAGACCAGTCACAAGACCAGACACAAGACCAGTCATAAGACCAGACGCAGGACCAGTCACAAGACCAAATACAAGACAACCCATAAGACAAGACGCAAGACCAGTCACAAGACCAGACACAAGACCAGTCATAAGACAAGACGCAAGACCAGTCACAAGACCAAACACAAGACAACTCATAAGACAAGACGCAAGACCAGTCACAAGACCAGTCATAAGACAATTTCGACAACCAGTCACAAGACAAGTCACAGACTGGAGTTATCATGTTTGTCTTATGATGGTCTTAAGGGGTCTGCAACTGCAACACTGACCTTCTTGCTTGCACACTCATGCACAGGTCATGCAAGTGTTCAAAGATCAATCTTTTTGTGACTAACCAATATCTTCACACTGTCTAAATCATCTAAGCCACTGTTTAGTAACCACGGCAACATGGAGGACAGGTTACATGTACCTGCCACAGAAGCCTATACATTGGCATATTTTTGTGGTTTATTTGCTTTAATGTAGGATGGAAGGAGCAAAGTACGAGAAGGCACAAGAGTGGCGGATACCAGTGATCAACGTGCAGTGGTTGAATGACCTGGTGCTTGGTAACCATGAATCTGTCCGCAACCTGAACACAGCTAGATATCAACTCTATGACCTGCCAGACCCATTTAAGATCGACAAGTACGGACATATGTGCACCAGTCTGATGGGTAGGTTGACAGCATTTTTGGTATATTCCGAATATTCCACCCATATGGAGGAATTGATCCTTACAGTCACAGGTCATTTGTATTAATAGCCAAAAATGACTTGTTATTCAAGGAAAGAAGCATTTGCCAACTTTTAAAAAAACAGCCAAATGCCACAGTCTCAGACTTCAGGGAGTGTTGTGATCAATATTTGTATGATATTTTGTACCCCAACCTCATATTTTGTGCCGAGCCTGTGGCATATCCGCGGAGCCATATTGATTACAACCGACCTTGAGTCAACATCAGGGTTTCCCCTGCCTATTCAAGTGTGAGGCAGCCCACCTCACTGATTTGAGTGACCACCTCATGCTTTTCCGTTGAATTTTACCTCCTCACACTTAAAACAGACAAAGGTGAAGGAAAAGGAAATATAACTGAGATATTTTGAAATGGATCAGTTTAAAATCGCTCAGAATGGTAAAGAAGACCACAGAATAAAAACCGATTTATTTTTAGACGAGAAATTCGGAGGAAATGTACTGTTAGACTGAATAGAGTTTATTCTAGGCCTTTTTGAAAACACTTTTGTTTTTCAGGAAGTAGAATTTTGGCAAAATTTGACCACCTCACACATATCAGTACCCCAGGGGGAACCCTGGTGAACATATCTTGTGATGACAGTGGAGATCATTATACACAACACAAATTGTTGGAATGGTGGTAACGATGTTGTCAATGTGCTCTCTGTTTTTATTTTCTTTATAACCAAGATCCATGGACTGTTCCTTTGAAGATCTCCCACGCTGCAAAAAAGGCAAGTAGACTCACCCTCAAATGGTTACTCTGTACCTTAAGGTTTAGGGTTGGAATATGCTTAAGTTATTAAAAATTTATATATAATTACTTGTTCTCTCAAAAAAAACTGTGGCAAACGATCATAATTCCTCAATTCTAAGGTTTTTTGTGAATTTCAAGGGCAGAAAGTTTAGCATTGTATTCAAAATCTATTTTTTTCCTTTAGACTTATTGTTCCATATTCTTAAAGAGAAACAAAAACTGTTTTTTTCCCTATTTCACTCAGTAGGCCCTTTGAAACAGCTATGTTAATGTTCCATTGCCATCATCCACTTAGTGTATGTATACATTCCCTCATTTGAAGACACTGGTCATAAGAAGGCAATGGAGAATGGCACTGATAGTCAGGGAGTGCCATTATTTTGTAAGCTCAGTCACGACAGAATTTGCGGGCAACCACACTAGCAAAGAAGGTCGCGTTTGCCGGCCAGCCATTCGGTTTCCTCATATGTCAATATGATCAGAATATCCAAAACAAATATTTCTGGGCTAGCAGGTGGATGAATGGTTCAAGAGTTGATGGCTGTAGTCAGAGGTTTTAGAAGTGTGTTGTACCTTGATTGATGCATGCCGACATGTAGTGCTTCGTAACAGGTATCCCCTGCATGATGTGCATGGCAAGGCCAAACTGCTTGAAAGAGACTGAGCATGTCATCGCATCCCTCTCCACAAAATGACCACTTAGTTTCGGAGACACAAGTGCCTTCTTCAGAGAAGCATTTCCCATTGTCTGTTAGTTGTTAGCCTGTAGATAGGGTAGAATGTGGACCTTTTTAGGCTGTACAAGATGTTACTTGCAAAAAGGTTTATTCGGCATTGGAAAAACGTACATGTAGCTGTTCCGAGCATATTGTGCATGCACACGTACATCAGGGTTCCCGCAGCCTGGAAATGTCATGGAAATTTGTTTTTGTTTTCCAGGCCTGGAAAAGTGATGGAATTTTGTAAAAATGGCTAAAGTCATTGAATTTTTCAAACACTGTGTATGATTTCTATTCGCAGAAATAAATAAGTGCATAAAATGTGTGATTGTAGTCGCAACTGAAAAGGCCGAATAGTCTAAGATTTTGCTCCATTGGGTCATGGATTTTCATAATTTGGTCATTGGAAAAGTCTTAAAAGAAAGTCATGGAATTTAATTGTCCTTTAGGTTCAGGAACCCTGGTACAGTCATCCATTTGTGAGTTTATCATATTGTGCAGGCAAAGGCCTGCGTACTTTGCACTTTTCAACAGTAGTATTTATGTTGGTAGAAACGTACATTGTACATGTAATCCGCCCTGAGTTAAAGTGCACCCTCACCGGTGAAAGAAAGACAGGCTGGTACAAAGTTTTCCAACCGGGTTCTTGCACCCGTTTGGCGTGCGTGCAAAGACCATACATTCCAGAATAAATTTGCTGAGCATACTCAGCGTGCCCACATCAAATGTGAACAAACTTGTGCACCTATGTGTTGAGTTGGTACCAAAGGACTGTCAATATCATTTAAAAACACCCTCTTTTGTTCTCGCTCAGAGCGTATAGGCCCAGCTGTCGTTTATGTATGAATGTTTGAAAAAGAATGAAATGCATTGTTCATAATAGAATTATTGAAGGTTTTACCCAATTCTTCCCCTCAATGGAGGTTTTGCATGGTAGCCATCTTGCAGGGCAGTGCTTTTGTCCCACAGGGAAACTTCCTTTGTGCGTACCCTGTGGAACAAAAGCACTGGCCTGCAAGATGGCAGCCATGCAAACCCTATATTGTTGATCCCGAATACGTCAAGTTTTAAAAAGTCTGAACCCCCCCCAAAGGTTTTGTAAGACTTGTCCATGCAGCATGTCATTTATGTGTGCAGTGACTATCTAAACAAAGTCTCTTGTGTCTTCCCCATATTTGGTTTCTTGTTTGTGTGTGGACAGCCGTGCGTTCATGCTTCAGTTTTTTACAGTCTGTTTTTAGTGTTATGTGTTGATGTTTAAAGACTTGCCGGAACATTCTTTTGGAGTTGAGGATGTTTTCGTTTTCTTTTTTTGTAACACTGTTTTTTTATTTTCGTTCTCAGTTATGCAAGGCATTGCTCGGCAAGGTACAGTCAATTTGTTGTTTTTTTGTTTCACTGATAAACATTTGGAAGCAATATCCATCCACTTAACTGGTAGTACTCTGTACCTTTTCTCTTAAAAGTAGTTTCATGGAAAGACAGAATTCTCAGTTGTGTTACATACGATACCCTGGGCAAAGCAGACGGTACCGTTTGGTACACATATATCATGAAAGGAATTTTAGGAAGTGATGAAAGTTACAATGTTGGTGAAAAATGTGCCGGGTGAAGGTGGTGCCAACACCGCGGACAGATCTCAGCAATGCTTCCAAAGCAAAGTTAATATCATCCTTGGATTGTTCTATCATGTACATGTAGTCTCATGTAGAAATGTGACAATGTCTGTGGCATTTGTCATCAGGGCTTTCTCATAGAAAGTAAACAAGTTACTCACATACATGAAATAAATTGGAATAAAATCTGGTACACTGAGTTCTTTAAATTCATGTGAACATACCAATTTGAATTTTCCGTACTAAAGACACTGCTGCTATACTTCGTGATTCAGGGCAAGCTTTTGCTTAGTTACATACACTGTTCTCAATGGATAAGAAGGGCACAAAGGAACCAGTCCATTCCACAGATGGTGGTCGCTATGCAAAAGCTTGCCCCGAATCACAAGGCATAGCAACAGTGTCTTTAGTCTGGGGAATTTGATTTGTTATGTTTATGTGGAATCAGATAATGCAGGGTACCAGATTTTATTCAAATTTAACTCGCAAACAGCTCATTGCAGCCTTTTTCAATTGTAGTTCATTTACACATTTTACAAGCATGCCTTGGCAACACTTGCTGTGAGACCATTGAAAGTGTACCTTTGGAATGTGTTTGCCATCATGGTAATCAACTTGAAGACAGTCGAACCTCGTTAATAAGAGGTCCTTCTAACAAGAACTTTGTATTATCCAAAATGAATGCAATGAAAAACAAAAGACGAGGACTTAAGAATTTCCTTGTTACAAGCAGAAACTTGTATAAACGGTGCTGTTATCATACAAGGTTCAGCTGTATATCTGTCGGCAGCAGGGGTTTTCATTCAGAGATCATTTAGGAACCAGGTAACATCAGTTGGAATAGATCATTGGAGTATGTAGGAATGAGAGATTTTGAGACACTGGCGGCAGCAGACACGGCGGTCCTTTTTCACAGTATTGCGCACGCTCAGAACTATGCTGGCATGCTCAGAACAACGTGCGCGTGCTCAGAACTGCTACTTATCAAATTCCTCAAACACATGCCGTATGCAGAGTGTGTTGGAAGGGTCTTGGGAGGCCTGATAGAGGCGTCCAAGCAGGAACAAATAATGTCAGCAAATATGGGCATGCTCAATTGAATGAAATTGGAAATTAATGCTTCGGAAGTAGGAGCATTACATACAGAGGTAGAAAGAGCAAATCACTCGACTAATGCCAACCAAGAACTCACCTGTTGCTCTCTTGTGTGCTTCTCATAATCAGCAGTTTGAGTTTCTTCATCTTATGAATGTCTTTTATTGATTGTAAGAAATGAGTCAAGTCATGGAATTTAAAGCTTGGCTTAAATTAAAAGCCATTAGGTAAACTGGTAAGACTGACCAGCAAACCCAGAATATTTTTGATGGTCCAGGAGAAACGGAAAGTAAGAATTCTTAAACTCGCATTGGCCAGAGACTTAAAGAAAGCATCTACAAATTGTGTGTTTTTATTTTCAAGCAGGACGATTTTATAAGAAACATTTTGAGATCAGTAACTGAATATTCGGTTAAGTCAGAATTCAGTATGGATAACCACACCTGTTGCATGAGATGCACCGATATGACAGTTTGCTGAATAACGCATTTACGTCATTGCTGCCATGTACCCTCACTTGGATGAAGAAACGTAAAGGGGTTGTGCACATTCCATTGAAAAGTCATGCTGCATCTGCATGTGAGGAGGAGTGAATCCTAGCTAGCAAGCCACACAGCACCATCCGCTTTGGGGCCGCAATGCACACAGGTCATTTAGTTGGTTAACAATTGACACCTGCAATGAAATGCAGAGTGTTCGGAACAGGTGTTGCTATAAACAATTCATCTGCTCTTAATATGAGGTGTAATGCATTGAACTAATGTGATTTTTAACTTATACTAATTGTCTTAAAGAGTAATATCCAAGGTCAAGGGTTTATCCTAAAGTAGAACAATTCATCGGTCATCTGTAACCAGCTTCATCCAAATTAGGTGTGCGATTTCATATAACGCATCATACATGGGTACTAACATGTTAAAGGACACCATTTTAACACTTTGATGTGAATCACAGATTTTAAGTGAAGCAATGCACTGTCAAATACTGAGTCATGAGTAGTCGTGGAGGCACAACCAGTTAAGGAGATTTTGATGTAAGCCATTGTGTTTGGATGACATGCAGTATTTTCAGCGGTATGTGCACAAATCCTTCACTTAAGATGGCCGCAACACAGCAAAGAGGCAATACAGAAGTAACTCTGAAGTACTCTGTCTCAACTGGCAATGTTTGTTTTCTTTCATTTTCTTCTGCTTAGATTTTTGTCTGTTTTCTTTTCACCAACCCTGAAGAGTTGAAGAGAATCTCTGAAACAAGGGCCCAAGAATGTCAACATTTCATCAAAACCACAAATGCCTTTTTTCCCCCGCACACTACAGAATGAGAAAAACATTTACTAAACATTGCATCAGTGGAATCTCTTTCTTGATTTAAAGAGATCGTGTCACTTTCCTTTATTATAAGCTGGTGTGTATCTTGATCCTTTGCAGAAGTTCTTGTCCAACCTCGGTCAGAAGGCAGGTCAGTTGATGAAGCGAAAATGTGAACAAGGCTTTCCCTTAGCCAAGAGACAAAGGTAATTTTAGTTTGTTGAGAATATTATAGGGTTGCCTTAAAAAAAAAAGTGATTTTGATGTTCAAAGACATTGTGGTGAGAGTTGTAGATTTTAAATATGGCTGTCCAAAATTAGTCTGGTTGAACATGAAATATTCGGACAGATCCCCCCCCCAAAAATGCTGACACCCTTTAACCACTTGCTGCCGGGTGGTTTGAAAAATGCAATGCAATAATCGGGACTTTTCCAAGATTTTCAGTTTGTACACTGTACAAAGTCTTGGCAAGATTGAAATTTCCTTCTCGTTGGCAAAGTCCAAGGTGCATGCCTGATTAAAAGAGCAACAGGTGAAATCAATATTTCGTACATGTGATCATTTTGGGGAATATGATTTAGGGCTGTGGGGTTTTGATCGGGGTTTGGGGGCTCTCATCTCTCTCAAAGAGCCGTGAAAACAAAGTATTCCGTTCACTGTTTGCATATGGGTTGAAAGGTGCATTGAATTCTAGACAGTAAATGTGACGGGCTCAAAAAAAATGGGTATTATGGGACTTTTTTTTCAAAATCAGTTTCATACATTTAAATTGGTTACATTATAAGCTTTAATTTGGTGTAGGTTTGAACCCTGTGGTATTTTGCAATCTGGAGATATATTGACTTTTGCATAATCATATCACACACATTAACAGAATTGCTTTCAGAGATAAAGCCCTTTACACACAGGAAGTGGAAAAAGAAATCAGCCAAGACGAAAACCCCTTAATTCCCATAGCAACAGTTAGGTTTCTTGTATGAATGTGAAATTACTGATATAATAGAAGCCAATAAACCAAGAAGTAAAAAATCAGCCTGTCTACATAAAAAGCCGTTAGTGTGAAATAGCACAGTGTCCCTTAATATCCTTTTTTGTAGAGCAGTTCAAAAATTATCATGTCAGTGTGATAAAGTCCTGATTGAAAAGTAGCCTTAACAGGTCATTATTTTAAAAAATTACTTTAAGCACAAAATCAGATCAGAGAAATTGGTGACATTTAAGGACACAACTCCCCAGAAAGCTAGTTGTACAAATGAAAACGTCTGGAACATGTTCTGTTGCAATCAAATGTACATCTTGCCAGCTCAGAATAACACAAAAGGCTATTGGCTAAAGCTGTGTGATTGCTGGAAGGAGCTTAGATTGAAGTGGACCAAATAATGTGTGACCGGTAGGTTTTAATTGACGCTGATTTGTCGTGGTTTGTGCAGGAAGGGCAGCATGAATGTTGAAGAGGACTGGGAGGGGTCGCCTCGTATGCTGGACCCAGACAAGATCCCCTATGTCCTGTTCACTGGCATCGATAGCAGGGCCATTCCTGAACTCATCAAGGTAGGCGTTCACTGACATGCCTTCCTCGTGCCACACTGCAGGGGAAGACGGGGACTGTTGTTGAATCTATCGCAAGTCCCATCATAAGTAGCTTTTGTCTCTTCCCCCCTTTCCTTATACCAAGAGCAAAACACAGTAAGGATTAAAATCCCGATTTAGAACTTTCTCAAAAGATGCGTCTGAGTGGTAGAGGAGGATCTGAGATATCTTGGGGAATATTTGGCCAGCATGGGTGTGTCTCCAGGGGTGTTACAAGGGAGACCTTTGGCCCCTCCCTCTGCAAATAAAATGAAAAAAATTAGAAAGGAATTCAAAATTAAATGGATATGCACCAAAATGGACCCCATCCACTGCTAATTGTTTGTCACTTTGTTGCTGATGATTGCTTTGCTCCTCAACCCCTGCAAATTCCCCCCCCCCCCGAAAAAATCCTAGTCTCGCCCACGTGTCTCAAGCACCCATTCAAAGCAGGAAACTTCGAGACGCTGTTGGCAGCAGACATAACGGTCCTTTTTCACTNGTGTTGCACATGATAAGAACGATGCATGTAAGCTCAGAACAGTGCAGGCATGCTGGGAACTGGTAAAAAGGACCGGTAAGTTTGCTGCCACCAAGCGTCTCAAAGCCTCCCCTTTCAGAATAATTTGGCTTCCTCCAAGAGTCCTCCTAGAATACGGATTTTACAGGTATTCACCCTTGTGGCAACTGAGGTTTTTCTGTAATTTCTTCCACCTGTTCACAGAAATTGGAGAAGTTGGGTGGTCGCATGGCAGACACCATGGCATCCTGCACCCATCTGGTGACAAACAAAGTGACACGGACTGTCAAGTTCTTGTCAGGGGTGTCTGTGTGTCGGTTCATTGTCACTCCCATGTGGATCGAAGAAAGTTACAAGAGCAGATGGTTTCTAGGTAAACCACTCTCGGCTTAAAATGTTTTTTTCTGTATTTCTCTCAGTTATGCATCTCTTTTGTTCATTTCAAGTTGAAGGCAGTGCATACGTGAGGCAAACTGAAAAAAAACAAAACTTGACATTATGAAATTTTTTGCTGCAAAATTCGCTCAAATTGAAATGTGCTCTGTTGAAATGTGCTTTCTGGATGTGCTTAGATGAAAACAGCTTCCTGTTAAATGATTTGGAGGCGGAGGCAGCGTTTTCATTCAAACTGAAGGAATCTATGGCCAGAGCTAGTCAGAGAAAACTGCTCAAGGTAAGTACGTCCTGTCACTAGTGGAAAAAAAGTCTCATTGTGCCATTGATATAAACATTTAGGATACTAGTCAAATGGATTGAAAACAATCCATCTCAGAAGTTCCTTTCACAAATGCCTTAGAATGCAGCTGGGGCCAATTTCATAGAGCTGTTTAAGCATGAAAACACCTTGCTTGACAAATCAGGTTACCAGCCAAAACTCCATGTGATGTCTTTTGGTTAGCATGACAATCACATAGATTTTGAGCTAGTAACTTTTGTTTTTTAAGCAGGGTTTTTTTTTTGCACTTAAGTAAATTGTGTGCTTAAGCAGCTCTATGAAATTGGCCCCAGGAGACAGCAAGTAGATGTCCACGTATTTCGAGGGTTGGTGAGAGTACCTTTTTAATACTCAAGTAGGAACAATAATCTGCCCTGCACTTACTGCAAACCTTTTAAATCACAGCCCCCCAAAAAATAAATCAAATTGGGCAGTATTTCTGAAGAGAGGTGCATACTTACGGAAGTGGGAAAGAAAATGTGTAATCTTGAAGTAAATATGACTGGCTTCTCTCACTTTTCGTGACAGGATGTGACACTGTATCTGACCCCCGGTGTGCAGCCGGGTCCGACACTCATACGTGACATCATAGAGATGGCTGGGGGTCGGCTACTGACCTCTCGTCCATCGTTGGCTAAAATCAGTGCCATGCAAAGCACTATGGGAGCCTCTGCATTTGTAGTCATCAGCTGCGAGAATGACCTGCCTTGGTGTCGTGATTTCTTCCGTCATAAAATTGGTGATTTGATCATTTTTATGTTTCTAGAAATGATCTTCATGGAGCCATGGCTTTATTTAACAAAGGACAGTCAGTGCTTTTTGGAAATCCCCTCTTATTTCCATTCAGAATGGAGTTTCAAATGACTGATCAAAACCTCACATTGTTTTATTTCAGATGTGCACAATGCCGAGTTCGTACTGACCGGCGTCCTGAGACAGCAGCTAGATTTCACGTCATATCCTTTCAAATGTTGAACTTGTCATTTTATTTGCACCCCAGACTGAGATGCAATATTTTCATTTTCATTTCTAACAGCGTGCAGACCACACCTCTCTTTCTGGAACATCCCTCTTTCTATAGAGGCTTTGCGTGGTAGCCATCTTGCAGGGCAGTTCTTTTATTCCACATGGAAACCTCCTTTGTGCATACCCTGTGGAATAAAAGCAATGGCCTGCAAGATGGCAGCCATGCAAACCCTCTATAGTTAAGAGCTGCAGGGGGGAAAAATCAAAACTTCTGGGTTTTGTTAAAAAAATTTCACTGAACTCCAATATCCCGCAGCAGCATGTTCGTACGTTTGTTAAAATGATGGAAAATCGGGATGACTGCTGATGAAAGCATGCAGGTCTGACCCCTGCTCCAGCGTCATCTGTTCATTTGTGATTAAGGAGAACAATTGCATAATGTAAGTCATAATTTTTATATCCATGCTGAAGAGGCTAGTTAATTATAAGATCTGATGTAGCAAAGTCATTACAAAACTCCTCAAGAGTGTTCATTTAAATCTCTTGAATGAAATGAATATGGCCTGAATTCTCTGGGTCATATTTCTTAACTTGTGCACCTGTCACTTCTTAACTTGATTATACATTCAGATTTTCCCCACCCTGAACGGAGGCTGATGTTATGTATGGTCAGTTGATATGATACGAGAAGACTAATGACCATTGATTCAGTGTGTCTTCAGACCAGCAACTCCACAGGGCAGTGTCGTTTCAACTGACAGCAGGCAGCTTTGTACGTCAAGCCAAATGTCGACATCCTTGAAGAAGACAGTTTTAAACACTGGACGTTTGCTCCCAGTCATTTAGCGTATCGTGTATGCATGGACGTTTTATCAAGATAGGCACGGGTCTTGCTTTTTGTTTTTACAAAGGTATTTTTAAGATCAACGGGCTACATAAATGTGCTGTCCAACGCAAGTGTAAGTGGGAATGCGGCATTGAAGCATGGAATCATGTAATCAACTGGGAATTACTCATTCTCAGCGTAGGTTCTGCAATATTGGCACAGGTAACCCTCGAGCAGTTGTTAGGATAAAAAAAACAGGTAGTAAATTCATTTCACATGAATCAGAACAATGTACATGTAGATACAATTCAAATTTCCAATGATCTCTTTATGCTTTACTTTGTATAAAATTGTACAGAAATGGTCAATTCTGAAAAAAACACTTTGTAAAATGTCTAAATAGGTGGTTTTTATAAATTTGCAAAGTTTGCCGCCTTTCCTATAGAGGCAAATGTGACCCAACCCAACAACAGGGATCCTTAAATCACTGGAGCAACTTCTGAGTATACAAACCTCTTACCAGACCTTTCACCAGAGTAAGCAGTAGGAACCTCTGCAATAATGTTACCTACATAATGTCTGTACATATAAGAGAAGGCCAAACCAAGCCAAATCATAAAGACGGGCTGCTGATATTGAAACGAACTTGTGATGTGATCTGTGAAAACCCTTCACATTGAACACCAACTTTAAGATAATGGAAAAAATCGTCCTTGAGATTTTTTTTTTAATAATTTGACATATTACTCTCATTTTTTCGTTAATGACTCGAATGTCGTTCTTGAAATATTAACACAAATTAGGTTGTTTTATATGTAAAATTTTACATGTAAAATTTGAAATCTTGCATTTATTTTTTTTTTTTTTGGTAGCAAACTGAATAGAATGTTTGAACTTTAAAGATTGATTGTGACAGCTTAACTCCAATTATAGACATATGTAGAACAGCTTTGGCTACAGCACAGGGTCATTGTTAATTCTTTGTAGATAACACAATGACAAATTTCTCCATGTGAAGAGTTTTCCCAGATCACATTTGAAAACAAAGGCACTTCAGACTCATTTGGCAGAATTCCGGTTACCAATGAGGATTAACTTGTAGCAGTGTACAGCAAGGCCAGAATTAGTGCACACCAAGCATTGCATCCACTCCAAGTTACATTACACAGGGCTTATTCTATAGAACTTGGCTCAGGTATCTGCCTTGACCAGAGACACCCCCCCATCAGTTGTAAAGAGCCATATTAGTCAGGTGTGTCTAATTTGTTGGTAGTGACGCGACCGCAACAGGTGCATTTCAACTTGTAACCCAGCAAAGTGGAGTTCCTACCAAAGGAGCCCCTGTTGCTAGGAAAATTGCGCCCTCTCTTGGTCAAGCTCGGGGCAGATAATGGCAAGTACAGTAAATACATAAATTCAAGAACATACAACATAAACGTCAATACATCACTACGAAGCAGTACACAGTATTTTGGATTTGGAAACGTAGTTATCAATGGCGTCATATCTGCAAAGCACAAAGCTGATACTGCTTGGTTTTCCTACCTGTAGCACCTTTCGTGCTTTCATGAAACATTACAGTTGTCGGTTAAATATAAGTACGTACATACACAAACATTACTCCTATTTTATGTGATTTAAATTGTTTTTCCCTCCAATTTTTAATAAATTTTTGTATTATTAATTAAAAGGAAAAGTTTTGTCTCTTTATTCAAAGAGTCTGTTGCTTTCATGATGGCAGAAAATATCTCTTATTGAGCTGTACAAAAACCTTTCTTCATGAGCCAAAAGAAGAGGGAACTGGCTCTGAAGGGATTGCGTAAGTCTCCAATTGGTCAAGATTTCTGATTAGCAATGTGATAGCAATGTGATAGCAATGTGATAGCAAGGATAAACAATAATCCACATCATTTTCAGTTTGATTTCAGTTATGAAGATTCCAACACTGCTACTTGTTTGCAAAGTAACTCAATTCTGCGGGAATGTAGGTTGGGGCGGAGCTTAGAACATGACAAATAATGACAGTATATAATTTACGTCAATATAGAATGACTTCCTATTATGAACAACTCCCCTCCATTGCAGATCTACCCAGCTGCCCCGACGTAACTTTCCAAGTGCATAGCTCCCTGACTAACAATTTCCATGGACTGAAAGACACATTGCAAATTGTCTTCTACTTTTTCAACGTCACGCTTCAGGGTGGACTACTCTTGAGTTTCTTTGCCTCTGGTTGTGCAGTTCTGCCTTCCTCTGTTGGTCTTTTCTGAGCGGCAAGCTGACCTCTAGAAGGCTTACCCTCATCTGAGGATGAATCTGATTGGTCCATTTCATCTGAGGATGAATCCGATTGGTCGCTCTCATCAGAATCTGATTGATTCTTGGCTTGATTGGGCGGATTCACAGCCTGCAAATTATCAGTTACTAAAGTATTTTAAAATTTTCATTGTTTTGTGGACTTTTATACAATGAGTTCTGACATTTTCATTTAATCTACCTGTCATCGTCTCACTTTCAAGGAAACTAATTAATCTTCAAAGTATGTCATCGTGTCAGAAGATTCCACCAAACAGAAACACTGCATAAAACACCTGAGAAAAACAGATTCTTAGATGCAAAGTACTTCCTAGCATAAAAAAAAATCAGCAGTGGATACAGTGTCAAAAGTACATACGACAATCAATGTCCCAAGCCAAGTCAAACATGTGCGAACAAGGTACGTCTTGGCTTTAGACATTTTCAACCAATTTCAAAGAAATTCATAAACCAAACCAATGTATGGTCAAGTGTTAAATGGCGTGTCCTTTTATTCTATGTACCCTCAAATTGAAAACAAGAAGTTGTTGACTTACTGTAGTCTTTTGCATTGCATGGTTACGGGTGTGATCTCTGGCTTTTTGCTCAAACAAGTCACGGTTTCTCAGAAATTCTGCAGACTACAAAACACAAAAGAGAATTGTGACCCAACATAATAAAATGAGCCATTGCTGGAGCAACTTTTGAGTGAGAGGCCTTTAAGAGAATCTTGCACCGTATCAATCAGTGGGAACCCTCAACATTTTCCACCCGCATTTTGTCCATTTTCATCTAGATACCAAACTGGGTGACGTATCAAAACCAAGAGTTCAGTCTATTCTTCTCCTAAACCAAGACAGAATTTCACAAATGTGGCCCCTTAAGATCACCTATTTAATGTTCGGAAAGCAGTATCTCCCTGTTGAAACTTACTTGTAGAGGGAGATATGGCGTTAAGAAAATTAAGTATGTTATCAGAAGAATCCCTGTAGGAGGTCAAAAACATCATCAAGTGAGTTGATGCTCTTGAGATCATTTTGTGGGATCTATTCACAGGTGCTTCAAGTATCAGACAGTTTTCTTGCATTTGTATGTCAAGATGAATTTAAAAAAATTAAGACTAATAGTTCCCTCCGACATGCTCCAGTCAAATATTCCTTTGTTGCATAATTCAGCGATGAAACCTGTCTTCCAAACAGATTTTTAGTTTGGATGTAGGTTGGATGGAGTTCCCTTCAAATAGTTACTTCCTCAAATTACTTTTTCAAAAAATGATTTATACATTGCTGTTGTAGTTTTTACATGTTTTCTGTCTTGACATGGAAATTCATCGTCCTGTCTACGTAGTGGAAGAAAAATGAATTGGATGTTGTGACTTACGATATCGGCCATGAGCGGATCGTCCGGATTTGGCTGGGATACCAAAAGTCTGATAGACGTTAGTAAGGTACTGATGCTTAGACTTGGCTTCCAGCTTCCCTGAAAGTAGCAACAAACCAATCAGAACAGGTGCAACTTGCAAGAAACAGGTGAATGAATGACACAAAACACAATAAAGGGAGTCAAGTAAGTGATTGTCACAGTAACTGTTTTCTCGGATGTTTCACATCTTTGTGTGAAATACTGAAAAAAGATGACCACCTGGTCACTGTACTGACACAAGTGATGAGAACAGGTCAATTCATGTGAGAAATCAAAGCACTCTTCAAGGACCTGGAATTTATTCTAGAGATTCATGGTTTTTTTCCAGGTATTTGAGGCCTATGCAAAGCCGGCTCAATGAACAATGTACAGGAATTTAAGGGCAGATCCATTCCCACATTAGGTGAAAGAGGGAGCTTGTTTTTTGCAATTGTTATGAAGGAAACATTTGTGACCTTTTTATGGGGTGAGGCTTCATTTTGGGGCTTTTCAGGCACTTTCTGAGAGAAGGAAAATTTATAGAAAAGACCAAAAACTTTGCCTTTCGTTGTTTCCCCCCCAAAAAAAATTTTTTGCCCCTCTTCAGAGGGGGGCCATGGTCTGCCCTTGACAACAGGTGAGTAACTTACAGAAGGTGGCATCTTGAGTAAGTCCAGACAAATCCTGCCCGCGGTGTCAATATTGGGATGATAGATTGGCGTCAAGAATCGGACCTTTGGAGGCTCCATCGGATACCTACCAAAGTACCACAGCAACATGACTATCCACTATAAATCTAAACAAAGCCTTGATTTGAAAGACCCGTTTCAATGTGTTACCTGACGTGCTGAGGAATTCCGCATGTCAAATTTGTTAAAAAAAAAGTTTTCAGAACTATAAAGTTGTGACTTGATACCACGACTGGAACAAGTGTACATAGTAAGACTAATCACACAACTGATATTTGACAAAATGCTAGCAAAAGTCAGTTACAGTATGTCATAAGCTAAGATGTCATTACTCAAAGACTTTGCACATTTCTCTCGTATTTAGCCCACAGACTTGGTAGACATCAAAATTACAATGTATCTCCCAAATGTAATGCATTACCTCTCAGGTACTTGAATCTCCAACTTAAACACACCATCTGAATAAGGTGTCTTCTCATCGCCAATTATTTCTGTAAAGTTGGAAACATGGTACAGGGTGTTAAGATTGCATGGCAAACACATGTGAAAAGTGACCTGCAGTGATCAAACAGTTCGCATGATATGGCATAACACTTCCTCAGAAATGTTGAGTGCCATTCTACCAAATTACGTTTGGTTCAAAGTCTGCCAATTGCTCCAGCAGTTCTGAAGACTTTAAACTTCAGAAAATAATTGTACCATCAGATCTTAATACATTAAAAAGCAGGTGATTCATCTAATGTTCCAACACTTACAATAATGCAACGGAACACCATGTCAAATATTGCTTGCCTTTAAACAAAAACGCCTTAAAACAAAATTCAAATATGCCACATCTGAGAAAAATGTGTGGCCGTGGAAGTTATGAGTTAGACTACAGGCATCTGTTGCCGATGGTAACCAAGTAAAAAGGGCAGGGCCCTGAACAGCTCTGTCACAGTGAAAGCCTCTAGCCAGCAGAGGTAACCAGACCACCTACGTGCTTGTAGCTGGTTGGTATTTTCATCTTTCATCCAGCAGGATACACCCGGGGGTGGTTCTCTCTCCAACTGACTCAGTTCTTTGCCGATTCGTAAGGAGCGCCGCATCCTGCAATATTAAATCAAAACATTGCAAAGAAGAACGAACAATTTCTTTCCACACAACTCATTTACTTGAATGTATGTGTCATGCCCAAATGACAATGTGTGTCCGAAGTTGGGATGGTGACAGTCTTACAGATGGGCTAGCCCAACTACAGTCTGCACATCGTCTATTAATATGCAAGGTTAAAGGTCATCAGGGTCATGGGTCAGGAAGCTGTTAACTTAAGCATTAATTTGCAAGCTAAGTTTTCTTTTTACAAGGTGAAACTGTCAAAATCTTTTGTGAAGAGCATCGAGGATGTACTGTAATCAATGTCTCATCAGTTTGGACAGTTGAAACAACGACATGTAAAGTGACGTTATAGGCGTGATCAGCTGATCTGCACAATCCCCCAACGGCTCTGCGCAATTGATCTATTCTGCATGAAATCTCCAACTGTAGTCCTACTTCCCTTTTTGAAATAATTTTTCACAACCGTGAACAAGACCAAAGCAGTGATTGCCAGATGGCATTATCGATAAATCCCACAATTTGCATGACAATATTATTACTTAGCTTAACATAAGCAATCACGCAAATTAAAGATAATCAAGTGATCATGCATAATCGGCTAATCGTACCCATCATGGGCCTGTGGACGAATAGAAATGGGGTCCTGAAAGCAAGGATCGCTACTAGAATTCAAGTAAAATGGACTACTTTGCTTTACACCAAGTAGGCCTTAGCTTACATGCTCACCTGAACTGCAGTCAGGCAGTGACCTGCAAAGGCTGCATGCACTCAACGCAAACATGCACAAGTCTGACTTAACGTCGGCGATCTACTCAAACGAAACCAGGTAAGTTCTCCAGTGCCAGCATAAAGTTCGTCTCAAACTGTGAATGCATAAACCTACGCTTAAACTAACATGACTTAATTATGGTCGTTAGGTCTTATTGGAGAGCCTTTGATCTGTGGACCCCGGGTAAAAAGTTCTAAGATGCCGCCGAGATAAGCTAAGGTTAGTCGGATTACGTCTAAAGTCTTGGCTTCTGCCGGACGAAAATGACATGTAGTGCTATGGGAGCCGTTAGCTAGCGGCTTAAGTATTTCCCGTAGCTAGTTGTGTGTTTTTTAGCCGTAGCCAATTAAATGACCACCCAGTCAGCATATTTTGGTCTGAAATCCTGACTACATCTAGTTTGCACACATAATTCTAGTGAAAGCGACAACTTGGTCGACATATGGAATCTTAAATTGAAGCGGGTGAACACGTGGCAAACGGTTCAACTTCAAACGCCTTGTTAATAAATAATACTATTTGAACTTCCAGTCCTGGTTCTAAATAGATCAAGTGAAAGTACCTATCGGCCTTCCTCCAAACAGCTGAACCCAAGAGTTACAAACATGTCAGAACCTGATGAATATGAACACTACAATTACGACCCCCCGATGCGAAGCGGCGGTGCGGGCGGAAAGGGGCGAACGAAGCGTGAAGCCGTAGATAAGCAGCAGTCGAACGAAAACAAACAACATGGGACCAAAGAAGCAAGGCTAGTAGAACAGCAAATCACCAATGCCGAGACAAAACAGAAGGAGAAGTTGAAGAAACAAAGCAGCAAGGACTAACTCTAACCACAGCAGAGACTGCAGATATCGGTATACAGACTGTACATGTATTTAGGCTATATGTACAGAGATGAATGTTTTTTAGTGTAGGACTTGACCTTTACTAAGTATAATTACTAGTCAAATTAGGCGAAGATTCATACTCAGGGCCGGGCTGGGTCTGCACAGTTAATTTGACATTCCCAGTTGTTGTTTTGGCCATGGTGGCCAAGTGTTGCATGGCCCGGGCACTGAGTCATCGATCATCCATTTTGCCAACATTAACAGCACCATAATCTTAACGCAAAAACACTTGAAAACTGGTAATGGGGCAGTTCTTTTTTTAACATGACCCCATTTATAGTGTTTTATCATTAAATTTGGTCCAACTAGGCTCTAGTTCCAATAATCAAATCGAGAAATTGCAAGACAGTAAATCTGGGGTGAAGAATTTTCCATTTGATTGGAATTAATTTCCTTGCTTTCCTTTGTTCATTTTCACAGAAGTACGGTGGCAGCTGGCCTTATTCTGATGCCTGTTCCAGCCGATGGGATCCAAGAACTGTTGACGATCCGGGATGGAAGACTGACCCTTCTGACAAGACTCATTTCAAGACTTTCCTTTGCTGCATTTCACACTAACAAAAGGCCTTAAATAACATAAAACAAGACATTTTACACGAGTGACAAAATGGAGACATGAAACCGATGTGTGCTTTGCAATACAACTTGACGAAATAATTACTTCTCATCTTGTTTAGTTTATTGAGCTTACAGTACTTTACGTAATATGTACATTAAGTTTAAATATTCGGCCGCTAACTTAATGCTCCGACAAGAAAGTACAGCGCCTAACACAACTCAACCTCACATACCAAGTAAAACACCAAGATTCTGTAAACTTAGTAATCAGAAGTACGTGGCCTTAGCTCATATTTCTTTTGCCCACAAATCCCTGTTCATCTTTTTATTGACTTCTTGATTGGTTTATGTTGTAATTTATTAACATGTTTAGTCACAGTATTTAACCCTTGGGTTTTTATCTTTAAAAACTCCATCTTGTGCTCGAGATGTTGCAGGATCAGGGAAGGTAGAGCCCAGCCACTGTTACTTTACTCAGGGCTTAATACCTCTCAGAAGTTGAAGTACAAAGACTGCGCCATTGGTTTCCTGCACAGTGGAGGATTTTGGAGGATTCGGGAAGTTTCTGTACAAGAATATCTTGGGAGTTAGGGTTCATAAGTTCATCTGAATGTAGGGCAGTATGCTTAAATAATTCCATGGTCCAATTTGAAAGTCAAATGGCTCAGACACCAAAACCATGAATGGAAAACAATTGAAGGTTCCTCAATTTAAGTCTAAAGAGGTATCAAAATAGCTAAGTCGTATGAAATCAAAAGATTATTTTGTTGATTTAACATTTTGTTGGCAAACTTCGAAGGCTTTTATTTAAATTGTGCTTTTTCAACTCAAATGTCTAATTTAGTCTATTATGTATGGAGATTAATTTGAATATATCTTGATCCCTTTCCAATTAATGCTAAAATATAAGCAATTCCAAAACAATCAAGTGCCATTTCAAAATAGAGAGTAACATCTAATACTCCGTCTATTTATAATGACGAAATTCCATTTCTAATATTTTGAAATGTTCAAAGTATGTAAAATCATGACAACATCTTAAAAACTTAAAAATTTGCTATTAAAACTATGTGTATGTGCATTAAGCACTTTGAATTCAAAATTCTATATGGGCATTCATCACATGGTTCAGTAAAATACCAGAGATCACTCATTGTCGTATTTGTGTGGATACAACAAAAGTAAATTTAATTAATTAAACACAACAGGTATTAAGTGTGTCAAATTAACTCCCAAAGACTTCTTTCAAATCAAACTTCTGACAGCAAGTTTGTGTTGGTGTATTCGTGAACACCTCGTTTCTTCACCTCTTGCAGCATGCACAATCTCATCACACAAAATGTGACCAACACGACTTTGACAAGGTTACCTAAATCGGACTGTAATAATCTGCGCCTTGTCTGCCACATTGCAGGTGCTGTTCAGTCTTCTTTCTTCTGCCCGTGGTACTTTCGACCAATCAAAATGAGAGTACTGCATGACTGATCTCTTCACAGGGCCCTCTGCCAAATGGTTGTCAGCGTATTCACCATCTCCAATCCTGTTTAAACCAAATACCACACTTTTACGCCAAATGCAAAACACACAAGTGCCGTGCAGAAATTTGAACACACTGCACTTGCCCAGAATTCCCTAAGAAAGGCTTGCAGGAGAATTGGAAAGACACAAAGCAACAACTTTGAGCTAAAATAGTCATGATCCGTCCTCTGTCTTGAATGATTCCTGGCTGCACCGTACCTTGTACAATTTTTGTGACTTTCCCCAAACTTTGACATATTCGTTAACTTGAGGATTTTCTTGAGTGGAAATTGGGCCTGTTTGTATTATACGGATCGGGATGATCCAATGCTGATTTGCTCCTTCCAGTTGGTAGGCTCTGGTGTAAGTAAATCAAAGACGGACGGAATAACTAAGGCCTAGGCTATATGCTACTGCCACGCTAAACTCAATTAAATTTCTTTTAAGTTCAACATGGCAATAGCAAGGCACTTAGTGTGATTCGGCCCGGCGAATTGAATTCAGCACAGCAAGGCCTTTAGCTCAAGAGGTGTGCCAAGCTAATCGTTCCAAATAGAAGTGGCATGACACCGCTCTATTTAACTTTGGCGTTAAGCACAACTGCCACTTTATTGCCACACTCACTTGAATTAAGTTCGGCAAGCCAGTGGTATGGCGTCTAGTCTCGTCCTTACCTGTTTGGCAGATCAGAATCATCATCTGATCCCGAGAAAGAATCCGTGAGGGCCGTGACAGGAAGTTGATCCATTTCCGTGCTGGAACCCACAGGTATGGATGGAACTCTACATCTTCGTCCAAAGGCCACACTGTCCAACTGTCTTTGCTCGTCGGGTTTATAGCGGCGAAATGCTTTAGCTCGTTCGCTGGGCTGAACCTCTGTCAAAATTCACAAAAATGGAGCAACCTGGACAAAATGGATTTAGAATTCTCCCAACGGGTCAATATTACATCTTTCAACTTTAATTTCTTATTCAATTTTGAAAAAACACTGTACCTTTCCTGTCGAGCAGTTCGAGAGAAGGAACTCTGAAGATAACATAGAGTCGGTATTCCTTTTCTTGTGCTAGAGGGTTGTGATACAGATCTGTTACGTACAATGCAGTCAAATAAAAGATTGGTCATTTCTTATCTTAAGTCTTTGTCTTAATTTTAGAGGAACCCTTTCAAATGAAGATGTTATAAGAGGCCCGTCTTACATATGCGAAGCCTTTCTGAACATCTGAATACATTGGTTATACACATTCTTTTGTCAGTTTTTACAAGAGTCATTTAAATTACTCTCACAATTACTTTTAGAACCCCAGAAGGGTTTTTATGAATCCAACTACATGTATGTATGAGGGTTCTTATTTAGAAAGGAATTTAGCTACAGAGCAAGCAAAGAAATAATATGGGAAATTTGGAAAGTCTTTGTGGAACCTTACTCAGTGTATGAAGAGCTTGCATGTTTCTCATCTCGTTAATCGTTTCTCCCAGTTTGGTTAGCTGGTTGTTGTGTAGCATGAGAACCTTCAGGCAGGACAAATGACTGATGGCTTTGCTGATGCAGACAAGCTCATTATCCTGAGAGAAAAAACCATGGATTAGAAGAACCGATTTTTAAAGACTTCCATATATCCACGGCATTATAACAGTTAAAAATGTCTGTTTTAGACCCAAATAAGTCAATTAAACACCATTTTGCTGGCCTTACCTGAAGATATAAATGGGAAATTTGAAAGTTGTCCCTCAGGCATGTTACTTGACGTAGTTTATTTCCATTCAACCACAGTTCATTCAAATGCCTGTAACATCCTAGACTCTCAACCTTTTCTAAATTTCTGTAAAACAAACAAAAAAATAACTGGAGCATAAATTGAAGATTTTAAACACTCAGCATTGTGCTTGAACAAGCATATAATATCTTGAACATGACCTCCGGTATTTTCAGTTCAAGATAGTTTGCCTTCAAATTTCTCCTTTCATTTTTCAACGGCATTTGCGTACTTCTGTAATACAGGACAGCCAGTCTACATCAGATAGGCCATTCTACATATCTGTATAAAATAGTCTGTCGTTTGTTTAACGGCATTAAATTGCTCCATAGGTGTATTCTAGCCCCCAAAAAACTGCAGAGAGAGGTCAGAGTAAGGCCGGGGTACTTTTATTTCCTGTCCTGCTGAATTCGAAGGGAGAGGGGGTCCCTACGGACCAAGCCTCTTCAACTGCCAAGCCACAGCTATCCTCTCTCTCAACTGCCAGTCAATGACTCTGAACACATCAGAGAGGACTGCTGGTGGCTAGACATGATATATGACAGGCCCCAGCGAGCCTTGGCTCCAGCTGTGTAAACTAATTCCATTATGGTCACACGGCAGAGATATGTATTCATCCCAATGGGACTTGGCCAGAGGTCTGAAATTTTGTTTTTCTGCCTGAGGGGAATCTCCGGGTTAAAGAGGTTGGCAAATATGGGAGTTGATTGCATTTGGCCATAAATTTCTTTAAATTACGAAAGGGCTTAGAGAGCATTTGCTGGACCCAAGGTTTTACATAACCTACCGTTGGGCAAGGTAGATCTGTGTGACGTCTAAGTCCTTCCTTATGCCGTTTGCATCCATCTCAAGTTTTATCAGCTGGAAACACAAAAATATTACTTTGAGACCTTGTTACCATGGTTACTTCATGTACGTAGAGGTGCCAGACACACTGACTTGTCCTTTGAACCTGGAAGTGATACATCATACACCAACAAACAAGACACCAAACACATTACAGGCTAGTACAAGCAATACGTGAGACCTTTCTGTTGAAAAACGCACACAAGTCCATGAAGTCACGACCCAATCTTAGCTCTAGTCTAGGCCCCCTAAGTCATGTAAGTTGGTGGGGGGTTTTTGTTAGGCCTATCATATCTTTGGAAGTTGAAATTTTACCATCAGAAAAAATGTGGTCCAGTTATCAGGTCTACAATCGAAATTTTCAATTTCTTTCTTAAACCTTATCAATCAGACAAAACAAGTCTGATCTCGGGCATCACGTTCGGCCTTCGGTAGGCCTAGGCCCTCCTGACGTTATTCAGCTGGGGCCTTGACCGATCTCTAATCATGCTGATCGCTCACAGCAAAAGTGACTTGGCCTACCTGGGTAGTTGTGCCTGTTTCGGCATCCATGTCAATTTCTTTCCTGATCCTGAGCAACTATCGATCAACAACTGTTCTTCCCTCTCCACTCTGGTTCAATGTTTTTCAAACATTCCCGTTTCGCGGAAGTCACTTCAGACTCAGCTCAGTTGGCCTTACACCGCAGCAAGTAGTGTGAAGTGCCATAACAACCGTAGGCTCCTTTCGAGTCAAATATTTTGTATTGGCCCCTTGGAAATCACTTTTTGTATCCAAACTTCCAAGACATACCTGTATCTGCTTATGAAAAGACATTCATAAAAATATCCAATACGTTAAAAAAAAATAAGAATGCCGTCGTTGCTTTTTTTTTGCATCAAATAAGCGCTCATAATAAATTCCAGCTCTTATCAACACCTTGAAATGAGTATATTCCAAAGCCTAATTTTAAACTTGCGTTCCAGTCCCTTCACATTCTGAAGTCCTTTCAAAAGACAGCGGAAGGACTGGAAACTTGTTTACATACGCACTAGGTGTCAACCTCGCTCTCATCAATGATTTCGTATCATACTGCTAAATCCACGCATGGACGACGCTGTGCACTGCAGCGTTACAAGAATGCTATTTTTAGGTAATGTCATCATTATGCACAATAACAAAAATTTACCCTGAGTGATGTTTATGGATAGTCGTGCAGTTGTTCTAAGTTTTCATCGTAGTTGTGCTTCCTGATTTATGCTGCTTTGTCGATTGGATAGTTTCAGCTTTAGACACAGGCAAAATGCCAACAAAACATTCAAACAGAGGAGAACACTTGGTAAGAACAACGATAACTTTACTCTTTCGATCATCATGTGACATTTTGTCATTTTTTGTGTAGTCTTGTCTTTTCCTCATTCCTACAAATCTAGCATGTCGTACCCGAGACAACTCGTTGTGTTCACTTTTTTATCACGTTTTCTTGCGTTCATTCCATGCACTTCCAGCGTCATGCCATATTAAATCCGAACATTGAACCAACTGAACCAGTGTGGTTCGGTTCGAAAGTGCAATGTTCGATGATTTTTGGTTCAGTTTGGCGTGTTTGGCAGTTCGGCTGAAGCACTATTCTAACGTATGGAGTAAAAGTTATCCTGGGTACGAGTTGACCTGGGTACCACCTACCTTTGGCTTCAGCTCAGCGGGCCTATCTGATCCATTTTTGCTCCTTAATTTTTCTGCTTCTGAGCTCTGCCATGTTTGTGTATGTTCATAGTTTATCCCTCATTTTTAACATGTTCAACGACAAGTTTTCACACATCAAGTCTGAAAGCAAAATGAGCTTGAGAATGAATCCTGACCTCAATTTGTGAATTAAGCCGGGCTATGGAAATATAGGCCTACCAGCATGATCAGAAGTACCTCTTCACATGACAGTTTACATGGTTTATTGTCCTCATGTGTATAACGAATTTGTCTGGCATTAGGTCAAGTCATATTAATTTGCCAGTCCCTAAATTGATGACAGATGTGATGTGAAGAACATGATGCTGCTGTGTCATCATGTCGAATGCAGCGGACGACGAACCCACAGTTCTGGGAGTATGTACGGCCACTGGCGGCATAACGCGGCAGAAGTGGGGCCAGTGGCCCTCCCACTTTGTGCAGGTCCTATAATTGGGTTGGGCAAAATGGATCAACCTATTAATGGATGATGCCTGATAGGCTTACCACTTTCCCCCTCCCCTTTGAAAATTTTTCCGCTGCCAGTGTTTGTGGCTGCATGTGTGGCTGCATGTGCATCACGTTTGATCTGAGCATGATGTTCATTTTGATTGCATTTTTACAGAACAGAGAAAGAGAGATGTCCAAGAGATTCGAGAGAAGCATAGCAACAAAGTTCCAGTGAGTATGGAGAGTACTAAGTAGGCATCACCGGATGATTGGATCAGACATCGGATCGGGCTGATGTTCGGCAACATCAGCAAACATCGGATCAGTAAAATTTGACCTTCCTTGCCGATGCCAGTGTTAAATTGAAGAGAGGAGCAAACTCTGCACTCAGTTTTGGCAAACACAAATCTCATATTTTTGATATGAGCATGAATACAAACTGTGGTTTTTTCATTTGGTGTGATAAATGAACGGTTATACCATGGTTAAACCCACGTAAAGTATCCCCGAAAATTACACCTACGCGATCCTTGCCGCAACAACTCAACGCACAGACTGCAGCCAGAATTTACACGATTTATACGCTCAACAGTGACTGTGATGGCAAAAACTAATCCTATTACTGGTAAACTGACATTTTAAGGAAGTACACTGGTTTTCAGTTATTGTCGGTAAAAGGATCCGATCGGACATCGGTCGATGTTCCGATTAAAACATCGGATCGGTAGTTAAAAACCTACACTGGTTGATCCCTAATGAATATAGATGTATTCACCCTGGTTGGCCCAGCATTAACATGCTTTCATAAAGGCTCAACAACCAATCACACGGTGTGGTAGTATTCTAAATGAGCAGACACTTTCTTGCAAGGGCCACATTTTGGCTCAGGACCGGAGTGAATGAACACAGTATATCACCATGATCACCACACCAATGACCTTCGCTTGTTGTATGTATCTGATGTTTTGCAACCTGAGTGTTTATCAAACAGTGAAGATGTGCAAAACATATTATGTACTCTGAAATACGCCTAAATGTGAGGTCGCGTTATTGAAAGAGAGCTTCATGTAATTTTCCTGTCTTAAACCCCTTGCTGTTTATCAGCTGGTCAAGAAGATAACTGATTTTGATGTCTATGGCTCCATACATGCAACATGAGAAGACTTCTTTTTTTCTTTAATGTAATTGCAGGTGATTATTGAGCGATATGAGCGAGAAACCAACCTGCCCTTGTTGGATAAATCCAAATTCCTTGTTCCTGATCATATCACAATGGGAGAACTTGTCAAAATAATCAGGTAATTAGCCCATGTCGGCAATATTTGTGATTTCAAATATATACAGTACACCATTTTAACACCGTAGACCAAAGGGATCGGTTTTTCATGATTTTTTGTATTGAGGCTGGAAAAAATATTGCATCCTGCATCCACTGTTTTCATCATAAGACATTTGCAGAACTGCTCAAAAGACATGAATCGTGGACTGAGAAAAATGTCCATGCATGTACAGCAAATACTTAGAAAGTTGGCTTGACTCCCCAATAGACTTGGTACACAACCACTAAAATGGGATTGCAACATTCTTTCCTTGGGGTTGGTGAAAAAATCAACCCCTGTCCTCCTTTGTAATAGTTAGGGTAGAGACCCTGCCAGACACCTCATCACTTGGTCAAAGTGGCTTACCTGCAGATCTGACAGGTCTCAAAAATCTACAGAACTTTGCATTCCTCCACAACATCCATTGTTCATTGAGACTAGCTCCCGTAGTCTCTGTAACATAGGCAGTAAATTCAGCTGCCGTTGACTGACCAGTGCAAAACGAGTGCCCCATAATTGACACCTGTTGTTTTTTACCACATCTGGCAGATTTAGGGTCAATCCATGTTTCAGTGGGCTTACGTTCCTCATCTTTTGATTTCTCTTACAGGAGGAGGTTGCAGCTGAGCCCCACCCAAGCCTTCTTCCTTCTCGTCAATCACAAGAGCATGGTCAGTGTCTCCACGCCAGTTTCCGAGATCTACGAACAAGAGAAGGACGAAGACGGTTTCCTGTATCTGGTGTACGCTGCTCAGGAGACATTTGGATAAGAATGAGGCGGCAGGTTCAATTGAAGTAAAGACATGCTTTCCTCAGGCATGCCTCAGATTGGTGCCCAGCAGATCTCGCATCGCAAATTCACCAACCAATCAGAGTTGACCTTGTTCACAAGTTGGCCATATTGACTTGAAAGTGAGGGTAACTTTTTTTTGTTTCTTCATCTGAGAACAAAAATGAAAGCACTGAAAAATTTAAGATTTGTGATTATTCATATCTTAACGTTTTTTTATGCCACAATTAAAACATGAAAGTGAGGCACCGAAAATAGTCTGGCACCACTCCACGTGACAGATTAAATTGAATCAGACAGATTCTGAGAACACAATCAAAATGGCTTCCCTGTGAATGAGGTCTGTCATGAGTAACATAGGCTTAAATACCACAAATGGCTCCAAATACTATGTATATATACATATCAAATCTCACCCATGACATAGTACTTTTTTGTGATTTACAATCATACGATGTGGTGATCTGTCATTATTTTGTGTCAATATATATAACCGACTGTAATCAAAGATCCGCCTTTTTTCTTATCATTCTTTCATGGTTTTCAGGTGTTTACACAGATTAATTTTTGGCCCTAAACTTTAAATTTAAACATCTTCTGTACACTTCACTTGGAGGAAGTTGTACTGAGAAATTAAAACTGATTGTAAACCATCTTTGGGTAACTGAGGTAAGAGTTATACTATGCTGGTGTATAACAAGCATAGAAAGACACCTGTACGTTTGCTGTTTTCCTCCTTAAATGTACAGTATCACTTAAAAGTTAATGGTCTTGAAGAACATACACGTAAGACGTGAATGAAGCTGAGAAAACCACAGGTGCGTGTGCCTTATGAGAGGAAGCTCATCTGTTGGCTGAATGGTGTTATTTGATTTGCAGACATATTTGGAATAGACCATTGCCATGTTACCAGTGTTTACAGGCCAAAGCCTTCAGGAAAAAAGAAGAAAGGTAACGAAATGAACTTGTGTCGGACCACTTTGTGGTCTTATTTTTAACATTACCCTGTTTTGTTGTTCCCTCGGTTTTTGTCTATTTAAACCATGCCCCTCCCCACATTTTCATTTTTTTTTTTTCCTCATGTAGCACGAAGGGGACATTAAGTAATTGTACTTAGTGAGAGATATCTCAAAAAAGCAATAAAAATGTTGGTCCTAATAAGCTTTAGATAGTTTTGATACAGCTGTAGTCCAGACCGTATTGCTAACGTGCACGCCCTGAAATTGGCCTGTTTCTTGAAAAGTTGAATTTTTTTTATCACCAACAGGATGAAAGTCTGCAATCCCGAGTAGATATTTAACGGGATTTCATAGCAGGTGTATTGGGGGGTCACCCACTTGCCCTTATTTATTTTCGTCCGAAAAAAATTGACTTACCGTACAGTGCAAATACAATCTTATTCCTTGGCAGCATTTTTTCAAAGAGTAAATGTGCTGTTTGAATGACAAACTGTAGTCTGTACCAGCCTGCTATGCCAAAGGAAGTCACCAAAAAATGATTTAGTTGAATTCTGAAAAAGAAGTATTTATGCTAACTTTGAAGTAAATGTTAAAAAAAAATGCCATTCTTACAATTGTTATCACATAACAGGCGTTTCATACCTAACAATTACCGTATCAAAACCATAGTATTTTCTATTTTGACAGATTAATCTTTAATCAGAATTTGTACATATTGTGAATATTGTGTGATAAGACGTGAATAAAACGGCAAATGAAGAGATGACAGGAGTAGGTTACGTCATTGACTGTGTTCATTGTTCAGAGCTGCTTGCAAAATGTGATGTGTGAGAAATACCAAGTTTTCAGCATTTCCAATATTACCAATCAAAATCCTTCAAACCTCCATCCAATTTGTTCCTAACATCACATCAAGCCAACAATGCCTCACTCATAACCAAAGTATCTCTGCAAGTCTGCATTATTGTCTTTCTTTTATTGTAGAACATCCATACATAAGCTACATGCCTGTACTGTAGCCCGTCACCCACAAAGACTGACGACATTTTTTCAGAAATTATTTTCTCTAAATAATTTTGGAAAACCTGTTACCTTAAAATAACTTTCTAAGCCTTCCAAAATCTTGTCACAACCCTGCCACACAAAAACAAGTTTGTATGTGGCGTCTTTAATGGATGTCCATTTTAAGGTACAAACTTGAATTCTCAAAAATAATTAACTCGTCAATATTCAGATTCTTTTTTTTTGTGAATCAAGCTCTTTCAATTTTAAAAAGTAAAATGATTTAAATTCAATTAAAAATACCGTGTTGCCTTCTTGAAAGCATTCCTCTCTTTGACACTGTTAAATATAAAAGTGTAATAGCATGCTATTTGTAGTACTATTGGACTGATGGACACTGCCCCTCGGAATAATGGACGATACCCCACATTTGCACCAAGTTATCAATCAACACAGCGTAACACCAGGGCAGTAGTTATGAGTAACTTCTACACATCTCCACTTTGTCAACTCCAACACGTCAAGGATAGTACGTTGGTTACGTCCATAGTACCTGAGATAATGACTTCACATTTTGCCCTCATATGCCAAACGTTTTCACTTATTTCACTCAGACACCTCAAGCTATTGTTTCAATACTGAAACGCTATTCCATCTTTTGTCGAAAGCCTCCTTGGCGATTTGTTTCCCATCTACAGTAAGATTGGATTCATTATTACACAACAATGCTGCCACAAAACACTTTTGAAAGGTTAACTACCCGTTTTTTTTCTGTTGGTTTCTTTATCAAAGTACACACTTTGTTGCAATTGGTTCTTCATCTTCTGAGCCTTATTTCCGTCTATATTATCATCCACAGCTTTTCAACAATCACTTACCATGGTGTCAGTGTTGGAGAAAATTGTTTGAAAATATGTGCAATATTCAATGATCCAACACAGTCATTTTTGGACTTGCTACAGTCACGCAACAAATATAATCACTTGGGCGTCAATTCCATGTACTACCCAAACATGTCTCTCACTTCAGGCAAAAGTTAATCTCTGCCTTAATCCATACCCTATATGCTTCTGTTGGTTCATTCTTTAAAATTTTCATTGGCTTCACATATATTTGCAATTTTTATTATCTGTTTATATTTTTACATTTCTCTGGACAACTGGAAGGCTCCACTTTCTGTTGGAGTTTTAAACGTCTAACATACTGACTGACTGATGTAAACCTGGAAATGTCAGGTCCAATCTGCAGGTTGCAGCAACATTCATAATAATTTAAATATAATAACCAGCATAAATCTAGCTTGTGCTTGATAAATTTGTGCAACTTTCCATGACTTTTTTGACTTTAAAATCACATTAAATGAAAATCCAAGGATCATATTTTAAATGACGGCAGATAACGGCCAGATTTCATCATGTTGCTATAGCGCTGGAATTGTACTGTCTATGATGGCAATGCTACACGAGCTGTGTCATCAGGACGTAGCCGTGTCATCTACAAGACCAAGAACCAAGGCAACACGACTTGGTATATACACCTGCCAAGAAAACAAAAAGCAATCCTAAAGAGACGGCTTGCGGTAGCACCATGTGGATAGATATCTTTTGCAAGAGGTATAATTCTGATAACTGGGGTGTACCCGATGCTTTGATCGGTGTGCTCTCCAACATGCAAAACTTCCAGGTTTATCGACAGTGGCGTAGCTAGCGGGGCACCAGCATCTTATGTGGGGGGGGCACCAGCTTTCAGTGGCGCGGTTTTTGGGGGCAAGTTTTCGTTAGCCTTGTTCAAGTTCCATTCATCCATTTTCTTTAGTGGAGGCACCAGGAATTTGTGGGGGGAGGGGACACGCCCCCCCAGGCCTCCCGGTGGCTATGCCACTGCTTATCTACAACACAATCCTTATTTCCTTCCTGTTTAGGCAAATATAGAACCTCTCTGCCTAATGCCTAATATTTTATTTTTTTGGCAAAATCAACTAGACTATGTGATGCTTACAACCTGGTGCAATCTTTATTTTTTCCAAATCTACTGAAATCAGTCTAATCACGATGCTTACAGTGGGAAAAAGTTCAACTCAGCCACTTGTTCCGTTTTCAAAAAGAAACAAAGTTGTCCTCCACAGGTAAAGCGTCAGCAATAAAGGACAAAACCTGTTTCTTACTGTTTTCAGAGATAGGCAAACTTGACTGCGGAAATGTTACATTTTTAATCAGGCCTCACCTGCAAGGAATGCTGCCTGTCATGCCATGGGACGGGCGAGGAGAAGTACCGGGTGCTGTGGTCCAGTCTACAATGACCCCCAAACTCCGCCGCGTCGGAGTCTAACTCAATCTTGTACCTTCACAAATGAATTTCAGGAAACATTCTCTTTACGAAACATGAAACATTAATCGAAAAAGGAAGACTCTGGCCAATAAGATGACCTGTGTCAAATATCACCATTTCGGGTCAAGAATTCTTCAAATGGACACAAATGTACAAAAAGAGAAAGTTGAAGGATAAATTAAACATTTAGTCTTGAACACAGGGCTGCCCGTGGCTTCATAGCAAAGGATACTCTCCATGTACATTAGTGCCGATGCGATAGTCCGTGAAGCTGGAAGACACATGGAAGTTGAAGATAAATACCAGACCCACTCTCTCAAAGACGATCAACTTGTCCCCTTCATGTTTGCAGCTCACGTAGGCCTGGACAAAAAGTATGCCAAAATGGTCGGTTCATTTATTCAAGTTTCTCATGCTCAATACAGAATTGAATTGTTTGTTTCAAACAAAATAAAAATGAAGAAAAAAGAAAAGGACCAAAAAAAAGGGAAGGAAAGGGATTGGACCCTGGTCCAAGAGGTCCGCTGTTTATTGGTTGGTTTGTTGCTTGGCCCTGACCCCTTCCCTTCTGCCAACGCCCATGCTGATGAAGCCCTCTTGCCTTTGCATTAAAAACGGCATGCATTTTGAGCTGGACCAGGAGAGGGCACAATGTTCCCAGCAACAGAGGCTCGTCTGGTGGTGACTGAACTTCACTTGTTTACGAACGACTTGGAAATGCACACTTTACAGTTGCATCACTACCAACAAAATCCACACTCCCCACCAGCATGGCTCTTTTCAACCCATGAGGGGGTGCTTCTGCTCAAGGCGGATTACTGGTTGTGCACTTACCTGGGGACTTTCTAACCACTGCTTCTTCAGTTGTAATTCATTCATGGCTCGGTCAAAGTTGTTCAGGTGTTCGTAGCGTAGGTTGGTGTCATCAACGGTGTTCCACTGCCTCCGGGCATAATGATAACTATTGTTATTCCCCGGGCGTGGGAAATCTAGCCATTCCGGGTGACCAAACTCATTTCCTACACCAAGAGTTTTCACGGATCTGTTTGAAGCATTCTTTTCAAACAAATATACAATGTGTACCTTCAAATGAAATAGAAACAATAGAAACTTGGCATGGTAGCCATCTTGCAGGGCAGTTATTTTGTTCCACAGGGAAACCTCCTTTGTGCATACCCCGTAGAACAAAAGCACTGGCCTGCAAGATGGCAGCTATGCAAACCCTCTATGTTACATGGCCATACTAAATGTCATAGTCGAGTCTCTCATTTTAACTAAAGACACATTTTTATTCTCAAATCAGTGAAGATTAATGATTAGCCCTCTTTTCATAAAAGAAACTCTTTCAAGGGATAAGCATTACATTGGGCATAACAGCTGAAGTGAAAATATTGAACATAAGTCTTCACCCTAATTAGTCCTCAATCCTCCGATTTCAATTTGACTTTTCATAAACCCTAAGGGGTTAGGGTCAATAACTTTACTGTGTTTTCCTAACAATTGGTCGACTGCAATCCTTTTGTGTCCCCTTTCTGTGTATCACATCGGTCAAATCAACCAACCCAACCTGCAATCAGATTCTATCACCTGGAAACCATCTGTGTCTATTTTCATACAATATAACAATGACCTTTGATCTGTCAACCTTGCAATGAAAACTATCAGTGATCAAAATGATAAGATTCAACAGTTTGTTTCTAAACCCCGATGGGCCTTACGATGTATAAAAAACACACTTTAGGGGAATCAATTTATAGAGTTTTCAAGGTATCCAAGTACAGCGTTATATTCGGTGAAATCTCAATGATTTCTGCAACTACAAAATAATTTTCTTGGATTTCAAGCGCTCACCGATGAAATTGAGCCAGGCTTCTCCGCCTAGTGCATGGGTGATGAGGCGGATCATCTTATGCAGCGCGATGCCACGGTCAATGATCATGGTCAGCGGTGTTAGCTTGGACATGTGGGTGTACATCTCCTTGTCCATCAGCCAGAAAGCCAAGGTCTTGTCGCCCACCAGGGCCTGGTCATGGCTCTCTGCATAAGCCACTGTCTTCTCCCCATGGCGACGGTTGATCAAGGTCCACACAATGTCGCCCACGTTCCAATCCTCGTCTTTCTGCTCCTTCAGTAACTGTTCCAGGATTGAGTCCAAAGATCAGATGCACAAAGCACTTACGTTAAAAAGATGACATTATTTACTCTGGCCCAATTGAACGTGACAAAATGCAACAGGTCAAGCATTGCTGTATGTTTTTTTGCAGGCAGTTTTCAGACAAAACCCTGATTAGGTGCATTTTCATTAAAAATATTGGGCTAATTTTAGGCTTCAACAAGGTATGTTTTAGCTTTCCTGGACATATTTTCAAGCTCTCGCATTTCCGCTGTTTGATCCAGCAGTCAACAGTGGATACACTGTCACTACACTGTCACTATTGTCACTACGATGCCTTAAGTTACCTTAATCCACTTGTCAGGAATAGCCATAGCCAGCCGGTAGTCAAAGCCATTACCCCCTTCGCTGACGGGCCGACACAAGGCAGGCATCCCAGAAACGTCCTTCAAAAAACAAGAGGTCAGTAATAAGTTATTGTTACCCGGGCTTAACATTCGGCAGTTCAGGAAAAGAGTTGGATTAGCACTCATTTCCTTCATGAAACTTCAGAGAAAAATTCACTTTGTATACTTTTGTTTTCCAGGTTCTATTTCTCCGTTTCCTTTGATCTTTTGGCAGCAAAAACAACTTGTAATTTTGCTCATGTTCTGCAAAGTGTGTGAATGGGACAGGCAGAGGTAAGACAACTCAGGCAGTTCCAATATGTCTATATTGGTGCTGTGAAAATCAACCATAGCAGATTTTCCTCAGTTTTTCTGTATAAAGAGAGTGGCTCTGACAGACCGGTGAAAACCAACTTCCTACATGAATTAATCAATCACTTTGCTAACAAGTACTGCACTCCGATCTGATTATTGCTGATTTTGATTCCAAACACAGATGAGCTGAGTAATTTGAAGAACTAGTTTGCCCGCCTCAGGTTGTACCTCTGCGATGGTGACGATGTCTGGGTAAAAGGTATGTAACATGTGATTGGCTAACGTCAGGTAAGTCAGAGCTTCCGTGTCTGTTGATAGGCCAAAGTATTCATGATATCCACCGCTGAATCCCGCTCCTGCAACCAAATAAACAAATTGTCTTTGGACCTGTTTGTTTCACATGGATTATAAGCTCAATCAGTGATCTGTCACTGGTTCACCGACTCTAGAACCCACCTAATGGATGGCAGGAACCAGTGTTGGGATCACTGATTGAGATGTAGATTCATGTTAACCAGGCTCTCTGTTCACCTTATGTAACTGCTTATTCAATAGTAAACATAACAATTTGAATTCCCCAGACTAAATACACTGTTGTTATACCTCGTGATTCGGGGCAAGCTTTTGCATAGCGACCACCATCTCTGAAATGGACTGGTTCCTTTGTGCTCTTCTCATCCACTGAGAACAGTGTATTGATGCAAGGCGTCTCTTTTGTAACTAAGCAAAAGCTTGCCCCGAATCACGAGGTATAGCAATAATGTCTTTAGTATGGAGAATTCAAGTTATGCTGAAGTGAATTTAAAACTTCAGAGTACCAGATTTTATTCAAATTTAGGTCATAAAAGACTCCTTCCATTTATGAATCTGCCCATTCAGATTCTCTCAGTGTCAATTTCTTGATCAGATGCAATTGACTCTGCTATCATGGCATTATTTCCTCCCCTGCAGTAGTCACCCAACCAATCATCCTCACAAATTCCAGCAAGTCCGTCAGAAGTCATCCAACTCGCGAGCCAAAACCAAGTCAAGTGAAGTGTGCGATGAGCATTCCTTTGTCAATCACCATCCTATTTCCTGCGGGACTTGTGGTGGACTCGCCTATAGAGGTTTTTCAAGTGATGCAACATGATGGGCAGAGGCATTTCAGGAAGCATACCGTGTCCGTGGAGGAGTGTGTATTTTCCAATCTGTGTTTTCCTGTTGGCAATTTCATGTATGCCAGAATGGTGAGAGAGACTTTGAAGGCGCGCACGTTCCCATGCACACCTGTCTCAATTAAACGCTGACCATCAAAGATCACATGACTGAGAATCCTCCACATCATCCCTTGCTGTCCTTGCTGCAGGAACTCACCTATGCCGTGGTGATGATAAATCATGGATGTGACTCCGTCAAATCGGAAACCGTCAAAGTGGTATTCCTCCACCCACCACCTCAAGTTGGACAGGAGGAAACGAAGCACCTCCCAACTATTAGTACAAAAAGAAACAAATTGAATTTGTGAACGGGCCTCGAGCTGGACCAAAAGAGGGCGCAATTTTCCTAGGAACAGAGGCTCCTTTGGTAGGAACTTCGCCTCACTGGTTCACAAACAACTATGAAACGCAAGTGTTGCAGTCACATTGCTACTTACAAACTGAACACTCCTGACCAACCTGGCTCTTTTCAACCTATGAGGGGGTGCCTCTGTTCAAGGCACATACCATACACATTCAAATCAATTTTGCGATAAGCGCACAGACATAACAAAATATAATTTCTAGAATACTGTAGTATTCTAGAAATTATTTTATACATGGGATTGGTGTAGCTCCATAATCCCATGTATACAGGCCTTTAAAACACTGAATGGAATGGATCTATTAAGACCTGCACGGGTTTGGGTTGACAGTTCAACCTAGTTTATCATTTGGTTGGTTGTTTCTCTATCTATAGAGCAAGTCCAGGGCCAAATGTTTACAACTTCAGGTATCCACCTGCTGTAATTGAATAGTCGGCTATCCCACAACATGTGCTCGCCGCGGTGTCCCTCATGGAAGAAACAGGAGTTGGAGCCGTCAAATTGGTTGAGACCATCCAGGACGTTCTTAGCTGCGTGACTGTGGACGACATCCAGGAACACTACGAGTCCGCGTCGATGTGCCTCGTCAACCAGCCTCTTGAGGGCATCAGGGTTTCCATAGCGACTGTTTCAAGATAGAAATGATGGTAATGAAGCAAGTTTTTTTTTAAATTAAATTCACATTTTCTCAAGCTGCATCACCTTATAATTATTTTGGGAGAAACATTTCAACATTTAAATTGGAAATGCTCTAACTCTGTTGAGAAAAAGTTTTAATCTTCTAATTTCACTGGATTAAAAATTTCAGAAAAAGGTTTCATTACTGCACCCTTCCTTTGAGTTATGTGACTTTATAATATGTGTTGAACTGAAGCAAAGTATGATCAACTTGAGCTAGATTTTTACCTGGAGGCTGCATAGAAGCTTGTTACTTGGTATCCAAAGCTGGCATAAAAGGCATGCTCCATGATAGCCATCAGTTGAACCGCATTGTAACCTGGTCAGAAATCAGTCTTGAAGTGAGACTATGACAAGACCAGTCACAAGACCAGTCAAAAGACAAGTCACAAGACCAGTCAAAGACCTGACACAAGACCAGTCAAAAGACCAGTCACAAGACCAGTCAAAGAGGAGACACAAGACCAGTCACAACACCAGACAACACCAGTCACAAGACCAGTCAAAGACTAGACACAAGACCACACACAAGACGAGTCACAAGTAACAGGGTAAAAAATGACAAAGGAATGCTTTGGTTGCAGTTCATTTGAACTGCTTGTGACTAGAATTCAGACTGGAGGTCTTGTGTTGGTCTTGTGTTGGTCTTGTGTTGGTCTTGTGTTGGTCTTGTGAGCTCTTATGATGGTCTTCAGAGGTCCTAACTACAACACTGTCAGAAGTAAGTTGATATCAGAAGAAAACACAACACATACTGTCACCATCAAATGAGACTGGCTCCTTTGAGATGAGTCCTAAGTCCTTTTTCCCAGTCATTTTATTTGAGTACAGATTAGAAAGTGCAAGCTGAGCTCTTGCTATTGATGCATCGCTCAGGCTGGAATCCTAACAAAAATGGATATCACAAGTTTCTATTGATTTGCACTTGTGGGAGGTTCTTACAAGTGATTCTGGTGACTTCTGACTCATTTGGCTAGGCTGGGATTCAATTTACATTGAAATAAGACCAACGAAAAGCATGCACTTCATTTGTTTTCAAGGTTCATTGGGAGAAAAATTACACAAATCTTTCTCTGTTTTTTTACTCGACAGACAAAACAAAGTTCCTTTTCTCTGTTCTCGGGCTTAACTTCTCTCTAGACTTCGACCACACCTTGCTTTTGTATCCGTGGCAACACATTGTCCGTGAAGTTATCATAGCTTGACACCTCCCCCTTCCACGAAGCAATCCCGACGTGAGCCTCGTAGATTTGGAGTCCTATGAAAAATAATGATTACTCGGCTGTTTACATTAACGCACTCAGGTCCCGTCAATAAATGTCTTTGCGTTTTTATATCAATGTAACCCAATGGAGGTCAACGGCATGAATAAAGTTAAACACGGCTATAATGTTCAAAGGGTCATGACGTTTAACAGAAATACCTAGCTTGAGGCATCAATTTTAAACATGTTTTTCATATTTTGTGTAAAAATGATTAACCGATTGTTCCCAAAGAGAGCACAACTTTTACAGAAAAGTTTGAAATTGCGGGAACCAAAAATACAGACCAGACACTTTGGGAGTAGGGTACTTGAATTGGTATGGCTGAGGGGGATCCCACCACACGCTATCAAACAGCATGGTGTCTTGACACTGCACTGCGTACTTCGTCCAGGGGCAGATTCTATCGACCAGGTCCCCCGACTGAGTCTGAATCTGCAACTGGGTTTCAATAAACACAAGACGGAGGTGAAGATGACGCGATGGCAGGGTCCTGCTGTTCCAACCCAACTACTGCAGGGCATCAATTTCAACGGGAGTAGGGCTGGCCCTTCTACAGAAGGCAAATTTCAGTTGAAAAAATTTCTTGACCTTCTCCAAGTTTATACAGCACACACCTGACAGAATGCATCCAAAATATGCAAACCTGGCATTTCGTCCATGACACAAGTAAAACCTAGTTTCTACTAGCGTGAGTTGCCGATATGAATGCAATGATATTGGCATATGCTATGGCCCACACTGCTACTCTGTGCTAGTAACACCAGACCAATTGTACCACTATATAGTTTAGACCGTCTCAACTACAGTTGGGACAAATGCTACAGTTGGGACAAGAAGGAACATTCATATTAATTCAGCAACCAGAATTCGTCTGTAGGTCATAGGGGAAATAGATTGGCATATATACTCCAAACTGTCAATCTTTCCCCACAATGCATCATAAAAAACAGCCCGGCATTGTGTTCGAGACCGCACATGGCCAATCTATACGTAGCTTAGTTACCTTTACAATTGAGTTGTGTGCGATTGGGCAGGACCCGTCGTCTTTTGGTGGTAGAGTAAACTCCCACTTTCCAAATCCAATATTCCGGAAAGCGTGCTCACAACTTCGCCACTCATCTACAAAATAGAATTTTAGAATTAATGTATCTACACAGCTATGTCAACTACCTTAATACTGCACAAAGCAAAATGTCTAGGACAATTCAGAGGCAGACCTGTAGATGAGGTGTTACAATAAGAGAATAAATGTATGCCCGGCCGGTCCTGAACATCCATTTGAGACTGGACCAGAGGACGGACGCTGATAAAACCAAAGCCGAAGGCACAAACATATATGTATGCATTCTCATTCATAAACCTTTTGAGTCAAAAAGTCAAAACAAAGTTTACAAGTTGTAAATTTCAAACAATTTTGTTCAACCATTTTATACGTACTTCGTGTTTTTCAAACATCCCTCGTGTCATGTTATGTTATGCTCTTCTCAGAGATGCCACAATCTCAAATGGAAATTGATGCACGTGGCACATACCACATATGCTGGCTCACAGCCAGCCGCTGCTTCATCAATTGGTCAAGACTGACCACCTGAGGGGCTCTTTGACCGACAGGAATGGCCGTCGTCTTAGCAGTTCATGAATACTTACTAAAATCTCCTCTCAGATAAACGGCCTGCGCCGCCGGTGCCCACTGTCGACATACCACACCACCGCTGGGGAGTTTATTGATGCCAAAATACTGGTAGCCTGACGTGAATGAATCCAGACCGCCTTGGTCTTGCTCTATGCCTTTCAAAAGCAGCTGCAAACAACCGTATCTGTAGACAATATAAATTTGTAAGATTGGAGAAATATAAATTTGACGTGGGATGGTAATAACTGACAGTGTAAACATCACTTTGCAAAATTAAGATAATTAAAGCCCCACCCCTAATATGTCTTGCAAGTTCTCAACTGCCAAAACCAGTAAGAATGCCACATTTGATTTCCATCAAAATGATTGAAAGTGGAGGACCTAAATGCACCTGCTTAAATGACCACCATGAGTGACCATAGCCACTGCCACCATGGCTATGCATATTTTCTTCGATGATATAAAGTCAAATTAAGCCTAATCCATGGAGGTAGGCAGGGTCAGGTGATGATAGGAACGAGTAGCATAGGCCTACCCATAGAGGCATAGGCCTAAGTAAATGATCTGCTGAAGAGGACAGAATTGATGTAGGCCTACTGAGTAACTTCAGGCCCATGGACGGTTTACAAATTTGTTACAATACATGGGTTGGGTACGTTAGGTCTAGGGCCTACTTTAACCTTGTTTGGTAGGCCCAAAATAAAATTGGAACCTGGTGGGAGGACTCACCGTCGTTTGATTTCATGTTCATGAGACTTCAGATACCCATCTAGCCGATACAACGATTCCAAGTCAGGAATATCTCCTTCAAAAGAAACCGCCATGGCTTACGTAATCACGTCACAGAGCAACTTTTGTCAATGAACTCAGAGCGATGGCCTAGCCAACCAAAATAATGCAGCAGGGATTAACTTTCTAAATCCCAGCCCGAAACATGCCGTATCCCGTGATAGTGACCGTGCGGACTTTCACCCTCGCGCCAGCGCCACCCTTCGCCGAGCTTCCACTTATTTATACACGGTATACCGCCCTCTTGCGTTGTAAGGCGTCAAGCGCGCTGGTCCTGAGCGCCAGCGCAGGGTGACCCCGCTTCCTATGCTTTGTAAAGTAATTGATAGCTCTAATATTCTGCTTCTGCTGTTGTTTTTGTCTGACTTGCTGAAATAGCCTTCCCTTCCACATAAGTCTCTCGAAGCTAAATACATCAATAAGCTCGAGATAGTACAACGACGTGCAGCAACAACTTTAGTAGAGAGACTAGTGTGACCGACAAGATCACAAACCTTGGGTGGGATACCCTAAAACAGCGTCGTGAAGCTGCTAGATCGATCTTGATGAAACAAATGCATATGAGTGAATATGCTATTCCGAAGTCTATTTTCAAGCATGCTTCCACAAGACCATGTAGAACAGTCACTGGAAATAGTTCTCAACTTGATTTGCCACACAGCAGAACTGAAGCGCACAGGAATTCCTTTGTACCCAGAACTTGTACAGATCTGAAAAGGCTTCCTGATACAATAGTCTCAACAATGTCAATCAGCTCTTTTGGGAATCAGGTTCTTGAGTTTATTAGATCCAGGGCTACGAACTTCAATTAATTTTGTGTCACTCCGTCTTGTCCCGTGGCTATACATGGATTCTGTGAATCTGGTGCTACTTACCGAAGAAGAACTGTTTGATTTTTCAACCAGCGAAAGTTCGCGCATGGTGGTCCGCAGATATACTGTCTGGTGACCTACTTCTTCTGCGCTACCTCGCCGATCGACTAGTTTATACACGTTCTGTCTAAGTTCAGAAAAATCGAAAGGACTATTGAACTGACTGTATCAAAATAAACTCGTCGCGTGCCTGGAAGAAGCTTAAGGACGTTAAAAGCGCTTACGCCCTTTTGCCGAGAAACATGATCAATGCAAAAAAAATTAAAATTCTCGGCAAAAGGACATATGTGGTACTGTTTCAGAGAAGACTGCACGAATCACAGTTGTACTACATTACTTATAATGCTCATTAAATAAGAGGAGAGTCAGATCGGCGTAGTGGTTCTTTCCTCGCCTTGGTCTGCGGGGCAGTCCGGGTGCAAATCTCGGCCCCGGCGGGGTCTTCATGTGGATTGGGTTTTCAGTTCCTACCTGAATGTTCCTATAAGGCTTCTCATTGGCTCCTCTCTAGCTCTGCAGGCATGGGCGTGGCTAGACCATTTTGAGGGGGAGTGCCACATGAAATTTGCTGACGGACCGTCACGCAAAACGAGTGTACTGTAGTCTGATTCCCTAGCCTGACACCTACCTGACTATTTTATTCGGCCGACAGACCATGACTTTGCCGACAAAACTAGCCAACGGGGGGGTGGAGTGGAGTGAACACGATCCCGTTCTAGAGACGTCTGTGTCTGCAAGATTTTTTAAGCTTGGGAGCTGCGGTGTGTACGGCGCTTTTGAAGATATCCTTGGTGTCATTAATCATAAAAGGTTTTTTTTTCATAATGTAGATGATTTTCAACTTTGTGAATTTCGGCTGTTCCGGTTATCAGTTTGAGGAGCCAACCCTACGATATAAAAGTAAATCTGCACATAAAAATATACATGATTCATGATGGTAATGCCAGGATTTTATCGGGAAAATGCACGAACCCTACAAAACCCAATTTTATCGGGGGGGCCGAGGGATACAAATGACAATGTCACGTGGTTTTCAATCCCACCCCAGCCCCTCTCTGTTCATTCCTACGTATCCGTCCTACCCACTCGCCAGTAAGTATACCCAGCCAATAGGCTTGTGGCGGCCGCGGCACTTTCGTGAGCCCGCCGCTGATGGCGTAGGAGGGTTAGAACTTTGCAATGGCGTTATGATTTTTGAACAAAGCAGGCTTGCCGATAGATACTAAATCGAGACGATGATCAAAAGGAACAAAAATCCTGTTTTTCACAACGGAAACCTCAAGCTTGATACGGCCCTTGGCTTCTTGTGGGCCGGGGGCGCTGTTCAGATGGTGCTGAAGCTAGCAGTCGAGTCACAAGAGACTTTAAAACACGAGCTGAACTGTTCTCTTGCATTCCTATCCTTTTGTATCACTTTTCGGCGGTATCGTTGATTTATTTTGATCCATCTTTTTTTGGGGGGGGGTCCTTGTATATTGATGTTTTTCACCTTCCCCACTTCCAATTCCCGTCGCTACAAAGCGCAGTTTCATTTCCGTCAGCCCCATATGTTTTAGTTCATTTCAGTGGTTTGCAGATCATCTGTGTCCTACTTATTTGTTTTTTGTTTTTTTTTCGACCGCAATAGTTAGCAACCGGGCATGCATTATGTCTATTCCAATGCTTCCACTGACTGTCGCCCCGCTCCACCTTTCTCCTTTCTTTCCTAATTTTAAAGCAGTCTGAAATCTTTTGGCACACACGGAGACGGCAATGATCCATTTTTATCTGTTTATAAAGTCTTCCAGGTAGTAATTGAATCATGATTAATTGACCAATGGGAAAACAGCGATTCTGCACGTGACCTTTGGTCGACCTCGCATTTTGTGTGATTATAGTATTGTACGCGATTAAGGTGGATGGAAGTGACCAGGTCCCGGGATATCGAACGTAAATGTTTCTTGGTAACTTCAGCATCAGGTCCCAACCTTGAATGAGACATCTGCTGTTGTTTGTTTTTCGAAGTGGAAAATATAATGATGCAGATTTTGACAGAGAAAACACACAAAAGTATCCTTTAACTTGAATAGGGAGATGTCCCCCCCACGGCTATAATCCAGCGTTCCGTGAATACGGAGACGTATTTAAGAATGGAAAATGGCGGCCGACTCTCCCCAAGGATGACACTCAAACGGCATTTTCTTCTCCAAAATGCCGCGTAAGAAGCCGACCACTGGTATGTGTGGTATTATCAATATTTCTTTTCCTCTAAAACGATATTTTGAATGTGCTCTGGTCATTCTTTGTGACATGTAAGCTTAGGATACGACCTGAGTTGGAACTGATTTTGCAAGGTTTGGCTTGTTTATGCACGGTATAGACCCGTTACATGGTTTATGTATGGCATGTGTGCCTGGTGCATATTATAAATCAAATGAACTCTTCAGTGTTGCACTAGTTTCCCACAAAATTTGCAATATTCTGCGTCATTTCTGCTCTGCTTTGTCTTGTAAATATAATACCTACCTTATCTATTCAGACAAAAAATCCAACACACATGAATGTGTGGATGCAATCATAATTATTAACAATGAAGAAAAACTTTCTAGGCTCAATGTTTTTGTAAATGTTTTTAGCCTAGCTTTATAAAGTTTATGCTAACTTACTTAGTTGAAATTTAGAAAAAAAAAGGGATGTGGAGGAAAGCGAAGAATGGAATAAACTTATTGAGGGCAAGACTCTTCCAAGAAAGAATGCAGGACATGAAACGATGGGTAAACTGGTTAATATGAAATGGGCCAACTCGTACCCAGGTGAACTTGTACCTGAGTCAACTTGTACCCAGGTAAGCTCACATCCACGCCGATCAACTCGTAGTCACCAGTGCGCCAACATATGGGTTTTGAGGCATTTGTAGGCTGATTCATTTATAACGATGAAATGATGACCGTCATTTCCTATCCTCATGTGGTCTGATTTCAAACATGTCACAGTTCTGCTTTCATGTAAACTTTTAACTGGTTCCTCTCCACTGTTTGCTTGTTTTGCAGAATCGGAAGACGTCTTACAATTACGATGCATGTGGGAGACCGTTTCTGTGTTCCAGTTTGTGGGGCTTTTCCGATCTAAATTCCATTTCAGCCAATTTGACATAGAGGTAAGGCACTACAGTTCCACTTATTTCACATAGTTTTAATTATCCTTGAAAAAAGTGGACCGACGTATGAAATGTCACAGTCCCAAAAGTTTCTCTAGATTGTGTCTAAAATCATAACCTTCATTAAAGCAGGATTGTGTTTGTGTCAGTGTGTGTCAGGTTGCTCGCTTAGTGCCTTGTTCTTGAAGCATACCATTATAAGACAAATTGGAAGCTTCCATATTCTTGCCCACTTTGCCTGCCAGTCAGTCATACCACGTGCTGCTGGAATGCATCATACTTCCTTGATTTACACGTACATCAGGAACTCCACTGTTACGAAATTACCTCCGTGTACTGGGCTTGGATTGTTTAAAGGTGCAGTGGCTGAAACAGTCTCACAAAAGTTACACGCAGAATTTAGAGCCTGAGAACGACCAGAACATCCTGGTCAAAACGTCAAGTTTACACTCTCTTGATTCCACACAGTGTACCCACAAACCTCAGTCTAGCCTCCACCATGCAGAGTTTCAAATCTGATTTCACTTGAATGGTAAACAGATTGCAGTCACGACATGGGAAGCAACAGATCCTTTTTTTTAAGGAACATACAGGTACACATGTACAGTAATTTACTTGTTACTGTAAAAATTGGTATTTAGAACATTTATTCCTTATCAAACTGAGTTATGATCTCATAATCCTAACCATCTACATGGGGGACCTTTTGGGTAGGATATACAAGTACCCTGAATCCTTCAAAATCCTCCAACTGCCCCCATGAAAACATTGGATTCAGCCTCAATCCTCCAAAATCCTCTGGCAGTTCCTCTCATTATGCTGAGGCAGTGTGAATGGCGTCCTGGAGCAGTGTGGAGGATTTTACATGTATAATGTACATGTAGGCATGAATTTATGCATGGCTGAACATTAAACTACACCATGTCTAACCCACAACCCTGAGACAATGCATCCTTTTCAATCAGCCACACTTCTTTCTCATTCTTCCTTAATATCCTCCAAAATTGCCCGGGGGATTTGGAAGGATTGACATGGTTAGAGTTACATGTCATTGTTCATATTTTCATCAAGGATGGAAATTGACGTTCATCATTATGGAGCATACTTTGCAGTTTGTGCATGTGTAATATCGACAAAAATATTCCTATTTTTGTTTACATATCATATATAGCATACCAGTGGAAATGTGTACAGTAGATAGGTGTTGATGTAAACTTGGGTATCAGCTACATGTTTGGTGTTTACACAGTAAGATTAGGTAATCATGGACTTCAAGTAAACATGTGTATACAGTCTGCTTCATGTGCCCAGTGCATTAGTATGTACATAATATGTACAAAGTACCCGCACTACAAATCCCACATAATGCCTACACGTATGTACATACATATACATGAAGAAAATGCTAAAAACTTGTACATGTGCTTGATAAAGGACACATGTACTTCACACTTGTCACTTCGTATCTACCAGGAGCAGAAGCACCTGTTGGTTGAAAAGCGCCATGTTGGTAGGGACTGTTTATTTCGTTGGTAGGGGCACGACTGTGACGCATGTATTTCGTAACTCATTTGTGAATCAGCAAAGTGTAGTTCTGACCATAGGATCCTGCATTGCTCGGAAATTGCCTTCCTCTCTTTGTCCTGCTCGGGGTGCATACCGTTGCAATGAATCTAATTTATGACAAGAGTGAACGTTCACAGATATACACATGTAAATTCCAAACTTGGTTTGTGATTCCTAAGATTGAGATGTTTAGTAAAATTGCCAGTAGTTAGTCATTACTAATGCATAGTAAAACTATTGAATTTATGGACTGTTGTACAATATACCAGTCAGTGTTGTATTCGAGTCCATCACAAGTCCCTTGACAAGGCCAGCCACAAGTCCCTTCACAAGGCCAGTCACAAGTCCCTTCACAAGGCCAGTCACAAGTCCCTTCACAAGGCCAGTCACAAGTCCCTTCACAAGGCCAGTTTCAAGTCCCTTCACAAGGCCAGTCGTAAGTAACAGGGTGAACAAAAAGAATGCTTTTGTCACAGCTCATTTGAATAGTTTTGGAATTGGCTTAAGACTGAATGACTTGCGATGAACTTGAAATGGACTTACGTGTACATGTATGGGGTCTTGTACTTGTGATAGACTCAAATACAACACTGGTACCGTAGAGTTTTCTTAAATCTGTGCATCGCTGTGTTGTCTCATTTGTATCTGGTTAATAAATGTTTACATGTACATACATGCACCAGCACATTTAACCATACAACAATACAGTACATTTACATGAATGTGCAGTGGCCTTGATCGCCTGTGCACTTTTACAGAGCACGTTCTTGAATTCCCTTCCCCCAACATCTTCCATTGTGTATGACAGAGGCACATTATCATACATATACCTGTTTTGGTACATGGATGTGTTTGGAAAGCTTTTATAGGAGTCTGCTATGCCATTTCAGGAACCGGTACCCGTACCTGTAACGTGTAATGCTGCTCGTCAAACTCGTCTGACTGCAGAGTTAAAGCTACATGTTGTAGTTGGAGGATGCGATGATTCATCTTCCTTGATTTCACTGCACATTTCTGACCTGTCACCATAAAATGAGCTGAAAGTCAGAATTTTCAAAAACTGAGATATTTGTATTTTTGAATTCAGCAGAAAGAGAGCTTTCCAATGGTACGTACATGAAACACTATCGGTAAAAGTATAAGGTGACATTGTGGCATTATTCTGGCAGCTCTGGGTCTTTATTCCCAACATTGTTTCAGCATTTCAGGCTAGGCAGGATTAATACTTTCGTCAAATTGCTGAGAAAATGACATTTTTAAATACGGGATTCTGCGAAATATTTGGAATTAAATAGGAAATGGGTTACTCTGTCCAAATATTACAAAACCCAAAAATTGACCTCCACTTCAATATGACTTAGAACCCTCAAAATAGAAAAGAGTGGAATGCCACTTACCCTCATTTTATCGTGACTGGTCACATTTATCACAGTTTTTAAATCTAAGATTTTTTTCCTCCGGCCTGCATTACCACCCCCCAAAAACAATGCTCTGTACTTTCATTTTCACAAACAACTTGACGAATTTTTAGGCAGTTCATCAAGGTCTGGTAAGTTCCCTACTGACAGTCCTTGAAATTGCCTTTTTTTGTGTTCTGTGTAGAACTGTCCTTGGGGAATGCCTTTTCCCAGGCTGAAGTGACTTGACCTCTTCAAAAAAGAAGAAATTTAGCATCAATTATGGATGACTGGATTTATTTCAGTCGCACAGTCAAAATAAAATAATGCCTAATGTACAGTGTTGACATATACATGTACATATACACCTGAACGTATCGTGTACACAAACACATCCAGATGTGCAAGAAGTTTAACGACATACTGACATCATTATGACGCCATCAGATGTCGAAAGTCAGTGTACAAGAAAGATAACCCTGACTTTTTGCTTGCTTTTTTTAACTGAGTGACGTGCGCTCTTTGCACTTGATTATCACATAGACACGACGCTGTCAGTTTTAGCAGCATTTTCTTTTTTCATTTTGTCTGACCTTTACTCTCAAGGTTGTAGGAAGTTCAGAATTAAGTGCTAAATACATTCGAGGTGCCGCAGCTATGAAAATCTGGTTTAAACTTTAGCTCTCATGGAGGCAATCTCAAAGGAATGCTCAGTGACTGACTTGAGACATCCCTGACTATCAGAGCACTGTCCTGCAACAGTTTTAAAGATGTTATGCATGTTTTACTCTGCCATAAATTTTCTGACGAAAGTGCAACCAGAATCCAAGTATTTTTAAGTTCCAGGTATGCACACTTCATGGTTTTGTGCCTCAATCTTGTCAGTGATGACATCATCATGGTGGAAGTCACACCGAGGAGAATTGCGTGCTCATACAAACCAAGGGCCCAATTTCATAGAGCTGCTTAAGCACAAAATTTGCTTAAGCACAAAAAAAAAAAATCTTGCTTGATAAATCATGTTACCAGCCAAAGCTCCATGTGATGGATATTGTTTTGGAATGGTATTCACCTGTCTTTTGGTTAGCATGACAAGCAAGGTTTTTTTTTGCGCTAAGCAAATTTTGTCCTTACATGTAAGCCACTCTGTGAAATTGGCCCCGGAACGGAACTGAAATATTTCTTTCAAGAGGCAATATACATTTGGATGCCTGCAGATTAGATGATTATTTAACCATACAAGACTTACAACGCATTCCCACTTGAATTGGGAAAAGGTAGATCTTGATCCAGCATTTTGGTGTGATCATTATCTTACCACAACGAAACTGCAAGTCGCGTTCCCACTTACGCTTGATCCACCTTTTCGGACGGACATGTCGAACCCAAAAGGTCACAGAGTTCGGTATTGCGCATGTTCTAGCTTGCTGAGCGCACACTCTGTTGCAGTATTGCGT